TTGAATGACATATCAAACCACATTTGATCTGCACAGTCCCTTTCTACTTCTGGGACACTTTTTGACCCAGCTCTTTGCCATCAACTCAGCACCTGGTAGTTTCTTTCCAACCTTTTCTTTCTACCAACTGATAAAACAACTTTTACTTCAAATATTCCTCCTCCCACTTCCCTCCCTTCTTCTCTGCTGTTTTCCCTCTCCTTCTCTCCCCCATTATCACGCCTCCTCCCCTCTATAATTGCGTTGTATCTCGGGGCAATGGGAGCAACAGACTGTTGTTTCCAGCTTCATTCTGCTCTGTAATTATCTCACTCTAAGACCTGACATGAAGTCAAACAGGCGACTAAACAACATGCAGACATAAACACACACAGAGGCATGTGTCTATTTGCACTCAAAGTGGGAAATTGAAGTATGTGCTTCATGCACGTCTTTGACGGCAGTGAGCAGTAACTCTGGACGCCAACAGACGCGGCAAAAGGAGAAATGACAAATCTGACAAATCTCCAAATTATGCAATCAGTTTTTCCTGCCATGGCGGTGATAAATCAGCCCAACCCTGAAAGGAGAGGCTGTGAAAAAGTCACGAACAATGCGAACGTACTTCTCAAGACAAAGCAGAAACACCACACGTTAAAAAATGAAGCCCGTGGGAGGGTGCACAAAGCTGCAGCTTCTGGAGATTCAACAAGGAAGACTCCAGATCCCCATGGCGTCCAGGTCAGACGTCATGACAAACAGAGCCTCCTCTGTAGAAAATAAGATGGTTAACCAGCTCATCTGTAAGCTAATAATTCTCCAAGAGCGCAAACTCACTGTATGATTGAATTCTCAATAAGAACATCACCACCATGTTGCTGTATGTTGGAACAGCTCTGAGACGTCAGCCTCTGATGTGCTGCTGTGATGCACTCGGTCTCTGAATGTTTAGTCTGAGGGGTCCAGCTCTTGGATTTGGGCACAGCAGTGGTAACTTATATCTCCAGAAGACCAACATGCCAGCAGCCAACTGCCAGACTTGAGGTTTGAAACATGTACTCCTGAAGCTATCTTTGACCCAGTGTTTGGTTTGTCTGCCCTGGAATTGTGCAGAAACCAGTCAAGACAACTGGTGCCTCCCTGTGTTGACAAAAGAAGCTCATGTTGAGGTTACAAAAACAGAATGGTTCTTAGTTTCAGGGCAATACCAAAAAGAGGTGTTATACAACTACGATTATATATGTTTTGATCTGTTCCTCTCGACTGTGAGCGCTGCAATCAGAGATGATGGACAGACAAAATGGGAAGCCACATAAATGCGTGTTTGCAAAGAAACAGTTCCAGACTTCAATTACCTCAACTCCTGGTTTGACGTACGGTAGCCCTGAAAACAGACAATTTTATCCCATGTATGTGTGTCGAGGTCAAAGACAATCAAAGCCATGTCTGGGATGCCTCACACCCTTTTCAAGGAATTCTAGAGTTTTTGATATTTCTCTGCAAGCGCAAAGGTTGAAAGTGTAGACAAACAAAATGGCAAAGCAAAAGAAGGCTAATGTTGCAAATGAAGCTACATTAGAGAGGAAATGTTTGTGATCATTGAGGAACAACCACAGCAAACTGAAAGACGAAAAATGGGGGTAAGAGAGTATCTGGACTGGGCAACCAGCAAATACCTGGTGTTGGCAGTTTCTGATGTTGTATAGACCTGTACATGTTTGTCTGAGTCAAGGAAGAAGTTTCTGGCTCTGTGATGGTCTAATCTGATACCATGACCATCATAATACAAAGACTGGGTAGCCTGACCTCGGATGAAGACTTGAATCAAGTATAGAGCATTAGAGTGTTAGTGAGTTTTTGAGGAAAGCTGTTCCTCCCTGTTTCTGATCTTTACGTCAAGCCAGACCAGCCTCACCTAAATCTGACAGACACGAGAACAGCATCCAGCTCCTTGCCTTGATCTCTGGGATGTAAATTTCTCTGTGGTGTAAAGTTAGGAGGATTAATCTTGAAATGAGCTCTTTTGCTTCTTCCTCTCACTGTGGTGACACTCACTTCCTTTTGCTATTTACATCCCAGGACACCAAGCTCATTTAGAAACATTTCACGAGATTCGGTGGAGCAATTTGGGGGAAACCCAACCAAAGGCTCTTTCTGGAGCTCGCCATTATATCTGCCTCCCAGATGTTTGGATTGTCCCTGTTAATCCCTTTATGAATCTGGTTCACCGCAGCGGCCTCTCCCTGGTTGGACTGACAGAAAGAGAGCCAGACAGCTTCCTCTGATGGGGCCAAGAAAAGGATTAAAAGACAGAGAATCAAGGGACCACCTCTCCTGGTTCTGTTGTTTTCTTCTTACACACACATTATTTCATTCCCTACGACCTCTGAGTACTCTCTGATTTACTGCAGGCAACTCCTTCAACAGTTAATCCAGAAGAAAGCACAAAGTTTATCTGCCAAAGTATCAGGGCGGTGAAAAAGTGAGTCCCGAGGGATAAAAATGATGAACCATGCCCTTTTCAGTGTACTCGACTAAACTTGGGGTTTAATACGTCTCTAACTGTTCCATTTTAAATCCATCGAAGGCATGTGTGCAGCATCGCTGGGCCCATTTGTAAAACTCTTAGAAAGATCGATAACACTTTATTTGGCACCTAGCTCTATAACAAATTATGGATATATTTATAATGAGTTATAATCACGTTATAGCACTGTATAACTATAGTTATAAACACTCATAAATAATCATTATGCTTTATATCAATTATCATAACACATTATAAAGCATTTTATTATGATCTACTAGGTCAGGTATTATAATGTGTTATAACTGCTAACAACAGTTGCATTGCAGTATCTATGTGGGCATCATCACTGAGTTATTAACAGTTATAACACATATAATACCTGGCCTTGTAAGTCATGATGAAATGATTAATAATGTGATATGACTATTGCTATAAAGCATTATGATTGTTTATGAGTGTTTATAACTATAGTTATACAGTGCTATAACGTGATTATAACGCATTATAATAAATACATTTATAATACGTTATAGAGATAGGCTTTAAGTAGCGTGTTGCCAAAAGATCTGCCTGTTTTAAATCAGAACAAGAAGATTCAGAAGTTTTTGACGACTGTAAAAATAGAAAATAATTGGAGGAGCAATATTTGCACTGCAGCATGTGGTTCGTGTGAACAGGCTTGCATCAAAAGTGCAGAAATATGAATGCAATAAACACAGTGAATGCTTCATTTGTATCTCTATGTTTAAGTGGCATAGAGCATAAATGAACCCATCTTTATTGGACAGATTATGAACTAAAGACTCTCTCCTTCAAAGTTGTGGAGCTCACTTTAAAAATGAAAAAGAGCTAATGCTGCGTTCCAGTTACCTCGGAAGTCAGATGTCAGCGTTCCAGTCAGCAAGTCAGTAAAATAAGATGGATGTCTCCTGTTAGCTGTTGTTAGCTGTTATTTACAATTGTCAGCTGTTGTTGGCCTTTGTCAGTCATTAGCGGTTGTCAGCTGTTGTTAGCTATACCAGCTGTAAACAACACATAACACAGTATTTTACTCTTACAAACACCATAGCACCTTGTTCATTCACAGTTAGATGTTGGGCAGTACGACATATACTACTTATTTGATTTCACAAAAACAAAGCAGAAGTGCTAATAAATAATACATTACAGGAGTTTTCACTGTTACTCTTTACTCTTGATGCACTGCGCTGCCATCTTGGATTATGATGTTGTCGTCAAGTTGGGGTTGGTGAGGATTATCCGACTTTCCGAGTCGGAAATCCAACTTCAGGGGAGTGTTCCAGATGAATTTCTGACTCCGAGCTCGGAAATCCTGACTTCCAGGTACAACTGGAATGTGTGCAGCATAAATCCACACAGATTTAGATGAACTAAATCTCACTCACAGTTTATTTGTTACAATCTTCACAAGACCTGGCCTAATCATCGCAGCTAACCACATCTGAAATGTTTGCAGCATCCGTGTCAGATGCGAGCCGAAAACCCAACTTTGGCTGCTATAAAAAAACAGGAGCTTTCAACACCTCTCCAGTCGCTACTTTCATATTTCTATTCATGAGTTGCAAGTTTAGCTGCTCAGTTCAGCAAAATTTGAGTGACTATGATCATTTTAGGACATTCATGCACAAAACTGCAGAGGTAGATGGCTGAGGCTGCAGGAGCACTGAAGGCACGTCAAAATACGCGGACATGAACTTTCTTTGGACAATAACAGGCGTTTGAATATTAGAAGTAACTGTTCCCATCACTTTGTCTGTGTTTATCTAAAATCTATTTGGATTTAGATGATGTTTGCAGCCCTCATGTCCAAGTTTTATCCAGCATCACATGGCCCCTGCCTTCACCCCTTCATTCCTCATCAGTTATTTGATCTCTGCCATGCAATCTTGTGCATCTTTACCTCTATTGTAGAGCTCTTTAATGGTGAATCTGGTCTGCTCTGCAAAATGCACTCCCGTTCTGAAACGGTTGATGCAGGTTCCTAATTTGCTTGTATTTTGGTTATCTTTGCATTTTCCGAAACTGAAGTCTAATGAGCTTTCAGGGCTGCTGCATGACGTGTCCTTTGTACCCTCAGGCTGAAGAAATGATATATGTCACTCTAAGAAATGGGGGTTGTTTCCTTCCTAAAGACAGATTCACAGCAGATATCTAACCCCACAGTTAAAGGGCAGCTATCTGTCAGCCCATCTCTGTTTTCCCAAAGCTTGTTGGAAACAGCTGCAGCTCTTGAGCGTTATGGATGCTGCTGGGGTGAAATGAATCACATGTGCTGTGGCAGTTTTTCCTCCAGTGGCAGAACTGCATCCAAACACAAACACAGCCTGAGATGTGTGTGAGACAAACTGAGCTGCCATGATGACAAAGGGAACAAAAGCCTCGAGGAGACGTTTACTGACACGCAGCCAAAGTTGGAGACCACAGTGAGAGACACAAATGATGACTGAGGTCAGCAGCAGTCGGAGGAGGCAGTAATTGATGACGCTGGAGCTGTGGAGGTGTCTCACAGCAGATCCAGCCTCCCCGATGTATCCTCCTCCTCCTCCTCCTCCTCCTCCTCCTCCTCCTCCACATCAGCTCTGTCCTGCAGTTCTCTTCTCCTCATCTGTTATCATACAGCTGTGCTCCGTACCTCTCACATTATCCTCCCTCCCTCTGGAGACCTCCACAGCCTCCTGAGCCCTTCAGGACACAACGCCCTGAGTTAGGGTCACCTCAACTCTACACCTGGGTGGCAACTACTTCATACTACATATTTACACCGCTGGATCAAGAGGACTTTTTCCTTTCACCTCCAGGAGCGGCTTTCTTTTCTGCTGATCGGGAACCTTCTTAATCTCACGTGTTTGATTGTTTCTGCCGTCAGAGTTATAAATATCTTCAGGGCTCTTTTCCGAGGTTGTTTGTTGCTGGAAGAAGGAAGCTGTTCTGAGGATTTTTACACCAGGACTGAGAGGGAATCAGCAGATTTCTCACCTGGAGGCTGAGGATGGATTTCATGTACTTCTGGCTCCTCGCTACTACTCTGATGTTGATCCATCAGCACCAAGGTAAAGAAATCCCAGATATCTTTGAACAAAAATGAAACTTTTGAGTGTTTTCTCTCTGGCAGGTGAAGTGCTCCTGCCTTCAGGGACAGAAAACTCTCTGTAGAGTTGTTGCATTTAGTTTTGGATGTAATCACACCTAAGTTAATGAGGACAGACTGACATGTAAGATCTTGTTGAATTTTTTAAGCGTCTGCTCTCTGAAAAGACATCCGCAGATAAAATGATCACAGCTGGATTTTTTTTTAAATCCTGCTTGTTGTCTCTTGCAGTCTCGGTGGTGATAGAGTAAATTCTCCACAAAGCATATCATAAATAATGATTAAATCCTGCAGGTCTTGATTTGCCTTGAACTCATATTTTGAGAGTGTCGACCTGGTAGGTTTGTGGAGGGAGAGGTGAAGCGCCTGGCTGTCTCTTCCACTGTGTTTCTGCCTTTGCGGTGTGATAATTTAGTTACGAGGCACATAATCTAAGCCTAATAAGTAATTTGGGAATGCGCAACAAAATCCAAACTGAATAAAAGGGATAAAATCTACAAACATTATGACCATGACACCCCATCTTTAACCTCTAACATGGGTGATAAATCAGGACCTTCTTTAGGGTCATTATGCCCCTCGGTTGATCCTCTGTTTTAGTGTCGTGCATTCCTAAACACCACATCAAACACAGACCTCTCTGCACAGTCAATAATCCAGATTCTGGTCTACAAAGTAGGACACCAGTGAGTGATGAGGTTGCTGACCCTGTGAGAATTTTCTCACTCAAGCAATTAGGGGAGGGGGGACTTGATTTTGCATTGCCTGATTTCACTGCAGCAAAGTTGCGCCGTAACAACAGACAGTATTTGAGAGTAGGAGTCTGGACTGATGTGTTGGTTATAAATAACTTGGTTTTAAGAGTTGGCTGTTCCATTTAAACGATATTATGAAGAGCTGAGAGAGATGGTTCCTTATGAGTCCAATGAGCCGTAACTCCCATCAGTAGGTGCATGAGGTTGTTCACCTGAGATACAAGAAAGATCCAAATCTGATCATACAGCCTTCATAGATTTAAAGTGATTTGTGGATTAGATGTGGCTTTGAGAGAAAAGTGAAACCAAATAAGATTGAAAATCATTATCTGTCGTTCAATAAAAGTTCTGCCTCTGGGAATACTTTTTTGTGATGTCGCCAAACACTTCAACTAACAATCTGGGCCAATCAGTGAGAAATGCAGCACAACTATTCTGCTCACTTTGTTGTGACACATTTGTCCCAAGGGATCTCTCTTATGGTGCAGCTGTTGCAGACTCTTTAAGGCTGCAGGCCATGAAACAGGCTGCTAAAAAAACAGCCACAGACTGATGAAGACACAGTCAAATATGTAGAAGCAGGATCCATGAGTAAAAAATTCATTACAAAGCTGAAGAAACTGATATATTTGTGAATTTACCTGACTGTGAAGATATATCCATTTAAACCCTTATAATAAGTAAGAAGCATACAGGTCTGTCTACTGCGTTTTCCAATAATTGTCCCTGGTGATGTTTCTTTAGGACAAAAACACACAATAACTCTAAACCTAATTAAAAGTAGTGCAAAGATGACATACTGGACAATGAAACTTTGAAATTTTATTGTTCCATGAAAATTATTAATGTAATTTAAAATGGTTTGCAATCAGCTCATCACTGCTAACCTCATTTGTGGTACACGGTACATGGACTGTAACTGTGTATACCACGTGTAGGCTACTAAAGTGACTCTTCACAGCACACAGTCTTACTTATCCAGCGGTATCAAGGCAACATCAGTGTCAGACCTCAGTCCAATCTCCTCCCTCAGGGCTCTCCATCAAGGAAAAGCAACACCAATGCAAATCAGCGTTAGTCTTCTCTGTTTGGATCCAGTTCTGAACCTCTTGGTCGCTTATTCGGGTTCTCTGACATGTTGCTTCTAGCCGCTCTCTCTTCCCTTCTTGTTGTCAGGTAAAACCGAGTAGAATGTGTCATTTCCTGTGCACCAGTGCGAGAATGTTGCCACTGACACCAAATACAAAAACCATAAATACTGAAAAATACCGTGAGGTGTTAGAGAAGCCGAACGGCTTAATCAGCGTTTTGTCATCTCCTCTTATAATGGCTTAGGTGAAATGGGTATTTACAGACATGTAGAAGTTACGCACTTAAGTTTTAAGGTTATTTAGAGCCCATGCAGAGGTTCCCACTCAAAAGTCCTGTCTGTTTTTAAAGCAGTGCTGCCTGAGGGCCTGAAGATCAGGACCATCCCGTCTTGGTTTTGGTCCTTGTCCCTTTAGAACAGAGATTTCTCCAGGTTCTCTGAATCATGTAATGATATTATGTAACTACTGAAGATGACAAATCTACTCATTCTTTCACATTTGACACTCAGGAATATTCTTGGTGGTGAATCCCGAACCCTAACCCTCTCTGAATGTCATTTTCACACACAGTCATGTCACCAACCTGGAGAAAATTAACAACTTTTAACCAGTTTGGTTGTTTTTCTGTAAGAACGTTTTACCAGTTTGGTTGTTCCTATGATTGAAAATGAAAAAAGCATTGGAAAGTTTAAAACAGACATAAGTCTCAGATAGTCACGCTGTTACATGTCTGAGGAGAAGTTCTCTCATAAAAACTTAGCACTGAGTGTTGAGAACGTCGAGGCAGACAGACACGTCGCCTGAGGAGAGGTGTGTTGCCACTTAAGCTGACCTCCTCATTTAGAAATGGGGGCTTGTTTGTACCAGCCTTAAATCCAGTCATTTCCTCCCGTCCAACTAAGCACGCTCATTACTGTCACATGAAACTACCCATCATGAGACACACGCTGAGCTGTGGGGAAATGCTGCTTTTTTAAACAATTGGAAAAAACAAGAAGAGCCCTTTTGTTTCATCCTCTGAATGATATTTTCATCCTAAAAGTCTTTGGAGTTTGACGTCTGCTGCAAAGATCTGGAACTTTTTATTCTCTCACCGCATAATAAGTCTTTTAAATCAGGGTCTCTTTCTTTAACATCCTGGGTGTTAAATAAAAGCTTTGGTAAACACAGGAATGGCTACGTAAGCTTGTAAAGAAAGTAGGCTGTAAATAAATAACCTTGCTGCCTTTTTCAAACTCGATCAAATCGAGCCTCTGACACTGCCGAGAGCTGCACTGTTCAGTTACATGAATATCTGTATAAGTAATCATTAATGTAAAGCATCACATGTGACAGATATTTAGACCTTTGGTGCAGGGCTATGTAGTGTCTTGTGTGTTGGAGTTTAGCACCAGATCTTGCAGGGGCGAGAACAGTGCTTGTGTATCCTCTAAACTCAGAGGAGCCTGATTTGTGCCTGTTGTTTGTCAGAACTTTTAGACTTTTGGTGTCACTAACAAAGTCCAGATTTTTCTATTGTTGCCTAATAGAGTTAAGAAACTCCAGTATTAAACTTGGTTGGTTTATAAAGAAATCAGCTTCAGTCTACATCTGTGGTTGATTCAGTCATTGTTAGCAGGGATACGGATCCCAACTAAAGCCCCTGTTGTTGAGCGCTGATACCTTTGCATGAATTTAGTGAGTTATCTGGCATCTGGTCTAAAGTTGTCATTAGCAGAGGTAAAGACAGTCTCACTGATGGTCCCGTGTGCAGTAAATGATTGACATGTCATTTTTCGGAAACACTAGCCGTGTTAACATGTGCAAAATTTCTTGATCCGATTAAAAATTTGAGGGATCAGATAATCTGAATCCACTGTTGAGCGCAAAATCAAATAATCCAAGTTTTATTCAGATAAGAAGCATTTGGACATGTGCAAAGTTTTCTAGTTTCGCTAAAACAACTGCAGAAGAAGAGTTGTATTTACGTCTGCACTGTCAACAAACCAACAAACGCGGTAGTGGCTCACTCCATCCAATTCAGGAGTTTTCTCCCTGTTAAATGTTGTCACTAGATGGCGACCTTGCGTACTTATTTTACTGTTCTGTCAAAGGTTGCTCTATGCGAGTGCCATCATTACGCTGTATGTACACCTTGTTATGGTAAAGGAGGAGCAGACATGGCACGTGCGGTTGTGTTCCATACCAGAGTGTTAATAATGAAACCTCCTGTACTGACCTCAATAAATAAGCCAAAGACTAAAGAGTGAAGATCGAGTCGGGTCAGAGAGTCACGGTCAGAAGAAGTGTTTACATGGACACGTTTCAGAATAACGATCGGCATAAACCACGCCTCTCGAACTAAATACAATTTCTTTTTGATTGAGCTGAACTGGATTAGAATTTTCCAATCAACATGTTTACATGACGCATTTTTATACCAATCAGGCGTTTATTACGATTGCCCATGTAAAAAAAGTAATCTCTCTGCTGCTCTGCTTTTGGGAACAGTCAGTGCTGTGGAAAATCCAGTTGATTATTGACACATTGATATAATATTTAGTCTTAAAAACAAAAGAAAACTGTAAAAACATTCTTCTCTACTTTTCTAGATCTGCCCTCCACCTCCAGTGCTTACCACTTTGAAAAGAAATTAGCTGCCATGTTCCTTTCTTTCTGGGACAGGTATGCAGAATAAATATCCAGGCATTCCTTTCTCTCTTCTGTTAACACTGAATGCCTCCAACTATGTGCCATCCCATTGTTTCATCAATATCCAGAACTAGTTCTGATCTGGAACCAGATTTTGATTCCTCACCTCCCGAACAAACACGTCAGACACACACAGTACAAAAGGTCAACATGGATATTAATGGCATTTTAAAAAAAACTTTCATAAAACTATGTCTTGTAACTTTTCAGACACATACTGGGACGTAAACCAAGAGGACTTTTTGTGGCTTTAATTTAAAGGTTCCAAATTTCCTCTGTCTAAAAATCATTTACTTTGTGGGTCAGGATAGTTTTTCAGGTGGGTCAGGTCCCCTGGTGGATGGACGCCCTCATTGGCCTATTATTGGAGGTTACTGATAGAGGTAAAAGTGTGCCTGACTCTTATTAGCTCAAACAGTTTCCAGCCTGTCTGGGGATTTAACCTGGAGACATTTGGGCTTAAAAAGGTCCAAATTGGGCCAAGAGTTTACCCTGGCGATCATGTTTGCCTTGCTACCTTTATTACCTCCCAGAAACTTGAGTCCACTGAGGCTACAACAACACAGAGGAAGCAAAACTCCAGCTCGCGTGTTTAAACTTCAGTCTGCGCCCTCTCACTGCTGACACGATCACACTGGATCTGTGTTTTTGGGACCTACCTGCAGAACGGCTCCGGCCAACCCAAACAGCCCACTGGTGGATTAGGCAGCTCATCCACTTGTATATTGTCAAATATTGTCGAACCCTGTGGAGCCAGGCAGACTCTCTCATAACAGGCAGAGAAATTAAACTTTGGCTTGGCAGCCCTCAAATATGTAAGAGCCTGAACAGGGTTTTACCTCTTGAGGTTTCCCACTGGAACCACTGATGCAAACTTACACTGACTCCTGCACATGCTCTCAAAGAATGCATGCTCACGGGCTCGCAAACATCAGAAACACTGCATGTAATTATGGGGAGAGGAAGCCTGCATTGTTATAGGAGTTTGGAGGATTGAACAGGTGCCAAAAGAGCAGACAGGAACCTGACATCTTGGAAAAGTTGAAAGGTTTCGTGGTCCATAAAAAATAAAAGACTGCCTTGAGCAAGGAAACAATAAAATGCAGACTTTCAGTATGCTATCTGATGCCACTTTCACCCCCGTCACATATCCAAGCTTAAGCTTTGACTTTTACTTTGAATTCAGCATCAAGTGATCAACTTGAGATAACGGTCTAATAACACATGCATGCTGGCCTCGCTGGGAGGTTTCTGCAGGATTTTCTGCCGGGTTTTGGGAGTTGATGGAACTTAAATTGCTCTAAGCCATCTTTGGAGAGATCTGCAACTTTTCCCCTGCAAATATCTTCGAAATAAAAACTGTTGCATCAGGATGTGAGTGCAAGAATGTTTATTTCACAACAGTGGAAAATTGAGTCTGATTCACCAGTATGATATTTAGTTGAATTAAACAGGCAGCTCATTACAAACGGAAAGGCTGAGGTCAGACGGTTCTGGATGAAGGTGTGGTTTCTTCTTACTTTGTGTTTCATTGAATCCACCATCAGTTTTTGAGCATCTTGTCCTTGAACCATACTCCTTCTAATTCCTGGCTCGTCTGACTTTGCCAAAAGAGGAATCAGATATTTTTTCAGCTGCTTTTTTACTGTATGACTACTGATGCAAAACAGCCAAGTTTCAGACTACAAACAATGACTCAAACATCAAACATTTCTTAATGTGCAGGGAGAGTTGTTTGAACCGATTTTCTTTCCATCCATGTATTGATCCAAGGTATTGTTGGAAATTGTCTTTATTTGTTTGTATAACTACTTCAAGTATCCAAAAAAGCTGCTCCACCGGCACCGCTAACCATATCTGAGCAGTGAGAAGCTCCTGATGCATTCAACGTGACTTTAGCAGCTGTAACACAGAGTGCTCTGTGATCCTTTCCTTCCTAGAAACAGTCAGCAGTACAAACAATCATTACAAAGGATATTTATGTGCACATGTGGTGAATTTGGTGAAGTTTTTTTCCATCATCCTTAAACATTATGCTCTGCTCTCTGTATGGGATTGGTCAAGGGATGCCAAAGGACGAGGGCACCACCAACGCTGTCTCTTCCCACACCTGCTTAATCTCAGCCATGCCCAAACTAAAAACCACAACAAGCTCTCTGTCATATGTACTTTAGACACACAACCACAAGATAAATTCATTATGTGACCTTTATATAAACATTAATTTAACAAGTCCCTGATTGTTCCTGGTGTTCAGAGGAAATATTTCTGAGGATTTAATATCAATACAAAACTCACCTATTCACCTACTGGAACCTATGTGTGTTTTCTGCATTTTTAGGGCTACAGTAGAGAGAGAGGCTAAACATGTCATTCAAACCTGGTCTTTTCAAGGAGAATGGTAAAAACCAGTCAGAGATTTCATCCAACATCTTTGCATTAAACCTTCCTGTTTAACCCTTTAGAGGGATATTCCGGCGTTAAATTAATTTAGGGTCAAACACACTGTAACACTGATTTTGACACCCCCTCAAGAGATGAATGTTGATGACCACTTGCTTCTCTAGTTATACCAACTTTAGTAATGACCATACGATAGAAATACACAGCGGTCTATGGAACCACATACAAACCTCAACCAAAACGCAACTCTATAGCCACAAATAATGCTCAGAAAAGCACCTAACTTCTTCAACAGTACATACAGGGTCCCAGTCATAGTACTAGCTATCAAACATCTTTTAAATTTTACCCAATTTCTTTAGCAAAAACATCAAACACAACTCACCTACACTCTTCCAACAGCCTCTTGTTTGTAGTGAGACCTCGGGCCAGTCTATTTTGGACTGCAGTGGGGTGACACAGCTCAGGGAAGAACATTTATGATAATTTCTTATCATTTCCTTGAAGTAATAATCATCATATTAATCATTTTGCGCTGCAGACGTGGTAGTTCTTCTGCCTTAGCGTCTCGGTCTGATTGCATTTCCATGAAGAAATGATCATAAATGTTCTTCCTTTAGCTGTGTCACCCTGCAGCAGTCCGTAATGGATTGACCCGAGGTCTGCATGCAAACTGCTGGAAGAGAGTAGGTGAGTTGTGTTTGGTCTCTTTGCAAAAGAAATTAGGCAAAGTTAAAAAGATGATTGGTGGCTAGTGCTGTGGCTGGGACCCTATATGTACTGTTGATGAAGTTAGGTGCTGTTCTGAGCATTATTTGTGGCTATACAGTGGCGTTTGGTTGAGGTTTGTGTGTGATTCCACAGACCGCTGTGTATTGCTATTGTGCGGTTGTTATTTAGGTTGGTATAACTAGAGAAGCAAGCAGTCGGCAACATTCAGCTCTCAAGGGGGTGTCTAACTCAGTGTTACGGTGTGTTTGACCCTAAATTAGTTTTATGCTGGAATATCCCTTTAAGTTAATATCATGAATAGTGAGAATGTATGTTTAAACCTGTGTGTTGGCTCGACAGGGGAGTGAGGGCACGGTGCATGTCAGGACATCATGTTTGGATAAAAATGGAGAAACATGCAGCAAAGAGCCAAGTATATAAAATAAAATTACATGAACTCTGGCTGTGTTCCAACAGAAATACTGCAGGCTGTGATTCTTTAAAGCATATTTCAGTTTCGTGTGTAGATTCAAACCCCTGTCATCTCCACCACAAATCTTCCACGGCTTTCTGTTAAAGGAAATTTGGAAACATGCAAAGTCAAATGGCTCTCTGTGAGCCATGTGAATTTTAGTGATGGAGTACTCCAAACCACAAAATATATCTCTGCTGCGCCAGGTGATAATTTTATAAAGCTGTTTCTCATGTTTCACTTCCACTGTTCTGTTAAAGTACCCACACAGAGTTAATACAATGCTGATTGCACATTTCATGATTAAGGACCAGTTTGTTATCCAATTTCCTGCTGCTCATGAGGACTCTGGATGAGCTGCAGTTAACCGGAGACATATAAAATCAATCCACTCCATTATCCACTTAACCTGCTGAAAATGAAGCATCAGTCTTTATATCCATCTGCGGGAGCTCCTGGAAAAGTGTTGTACAAATCTGCCAGTCTTTGTTTGTTCTACACCCTCCTGCACGCCAAAAACCAGCTCTTGTTCTCTAGATAATTCTTCTATGAGTCCAGAGTCTCTAGTCTGGTGATCTTTCACAACATCTTCCCTAGAGGCGCCAACTCCAAAATCACCTTCAGCAATTTTTTTATTAGATGAATTCAGTGGGGAATATATTGTGACATCAGTTTATCCATGTCGATCAGTCTGCTCAAAAGTTCCTTTTTTAATCTTCTATTCATTTTTCCTCTCTGCATGCAATAAGATGACATTGCCTTATTTTATTGTTGATAAACACAGTCCAACCATGTGAAAAAACCCAGTGAGATAAGAGTGGATTTCTCAGATAGCAATACAGACTCCAAACTACCCTTTTCATTTTGGTTTTGAAGTCCTCTCATTTCCTTATTTTTATTTTAGCTAATTTTAGCACAAGATTAATGAAAAGCATTAACCCAAACAAATGTGATAGGCTGATATAATGTGCAAACACTGATATATAAAGACATGTATAATCTGCATAATAATTGATTGAGGAGATGTTACAAAAAGAGGTGATGCATTGTGAGAAAGTTGGTACAGCTGATTAATATGTGAGCGCCCACGTTACCCAGCTACCATCTCAAGATATGAACAAAGATAATTTTATTGATTTATTAATGAGTTATTCATACAGGTAGAAAAAACTCCCCCAGTTTCCCTGTTATGTCTGTCTGGATGTTGGTATATCCTATCGGCTGAAATACAGGTTGGATTAATAATAGGCTTAACATTTTCATTCACACTGAAGCTGTAACATCAGTGTCTTTTTATTGACATTCTTATGAGATGTGGATAAAAGTAATTAAAAGAAAATAAAAATCAACTACAATAGCAATGCAAAACAGTACACCGGATATGTACACCGATGTGCGCTGGTACTCGGATAGTCAGAATTACAACTATTGTCAAGGGATCTTAAACAATCAGGATCAGGTATTAAACTCAGTTTGGTGACTGATAAGAAAACCTGGTGATAACAGGATCTAAACTTTTTGCCACAGTGTCAACAGGCCGAGGTGAAATGCGACAGTCTCATTACTGTGGATTACTTTGATTTGGCATGTGGAACCATCTCTTGTCCGTTGAGAAGTACAGTATATCACTGATGTTTGAGGATTTGGGGTCCAATCAGAATCAAGCATTTAACACAGGAAAGTGATCAATATTAGTAAACTGAGTGAGTGTGAAAACACTAGAGTTGAATTTGAAGGGCCCGAGAATAGATCCCTGAGGAACTCCACATGCAATTTGTGTTTACTCAGACTTATAATTCTGTTATGAAGCACAAAGTGATCCCTGTCCTGTAAATTAGATTAAACCCCAATAAACAGAGTTATTAAAGTTTTTAATTTATGATTTTTTGTCTCAAATCCTTTGGCGAGTGTTTCACTAAACTTTTCTAGTTTCACTAAATCTGGTTTTCTTCTTTTTGATATCGGTTTACAGACTATGAGTGTTAGGTTAAGAGTCTATAGTCCTTGGTCTCTGTTCTATTCTGGTAGTCATTGCAGCTCTGAATGATGGATTGCAGAGTTTTCTAGGGTCATTTTAACATTATAGATAATCATATTGTGGTGTGTTCATGGTTGACAGTCTTCATGTGGTTTTGCCCACTTGTTTGTGCTTCTCTCCATGAATATAGTCAGTGTGAATTTAATGAGGAGCCAATGAGGTTTCAATTTGCTCCACACAAGGAGCTCTGCAGAACCCCCCCCCCCCCCCCCACAAACTTCTGATTGTTTTGCACTCTTTTCAGCTCTTACATACAATAATAACATTTGTAATCTGGTCTGCAAAGCTGTAGCCATCTTACCTTATAGGGATGAGAGCATTCAGGGACAAAACATCTGATGTGTTTGCACAAAGCAGCAAAATAAGAAGTGCCAAAGCTGCAGTTCCTCAGAGGTCCACTTGGGGCTGGGACATCAACCCTTGTCTGTTCTTGTGGTATTAAGTTCTGCCATGTTTTCTGTCTAACCTAGTGACCCCTTCCAGGATAATACATAAGAGGTGTGTTCGGCCCATTTGTGTGTTTTCGAAGGTTACATGATGACCGTGGATGAAAAGCGGAACATATCTGTGCAAAATGGATTAAATCCACGAGCAGCGTTAGAACAGAACATCTCAGTCCGACCCAGTTTAGTTTGGCTGTTCGGATAGTGACCATGCAAACCGTTGGAGCCCATGTTGGCTTTGTGTTTATTATCTCTGAAAGAGGGGCTTCAGAGAAGGTGGCAGAGTTCACTGTCTGAAAGTGGATCTAATCCAAAATGATTGGTTGTCTTGACACTTGCCCTCAAGTTGAATTTTATTATAACAATGGAATCTTTTTGATTGGTGGTGGTGATTCTGAATGACGTCAAGGCCAAAACTGCAGCAGATTATCCTCAGTGTTCTGCCCACTGTGGATGGCCCAGTAGGAACAGGATTTTCATGACTGGTCTTTGCACCATAATGGACTGGGCCCAATGTTTAAGTGAAGAGGAGTTAACATGCATGGGTGAGGTGAGGGTTGGGCCTTGCTGCATCTCTGGAAATAATGAGTGTGTTTAGTCCTGCGGTATGCATTCTGTGCATGAAAAATATGTCGAATTTCCTGCAGTAAATGATGATGACTGAAAGTTTGTAAACCAGCATGCAGCTCTTTTGTTGTCTTTTACCTTTACTTTGCTATAAGCAGCACCTGTGGTTATAATGATACATGGAAAAGCTCCAAAAATAACATCACAAACAGATGATTCTGCCTAAAAATCAAAGCAGGTATCAAGGGTGACAGGACTCTCATGTTGGATAAGGACATTAATATCTGCAGTTCGGCATCAGGGGAAGAAAAAGGTCAGACGAGACAGTGTCTCTGTTCTTCTGCGTCTCTGTGATTCAGTCATGATGGATGTCTGGCAGAGAGCTGCAGTGTTGACAGGTCAGTCTGTTTGGCTCCAGAACACACAGACACCTGACCTGGACAGACCTGGACCTGGAGCCTCTTTACAACAGCAGGTGTGTGAAGGAGGGTTATCCTAGGTGAAGGCAAAGTAACGTGACTGTAATGCAACAAGAGGCCAAAGAGCAGCAGCGTTATCAAAAACAGTCTTTAGACTTTATGTTTTGACATAAGGGAGATGCGTCTAAAATGCACACTTCAGCACCACGGACAGAGAATCTGAATATTTGTCAAGTTCAGTCCAACTATCCTTGCAGAAGAGTTTGTAGCCCCCACCTTGTATGACATGGAATGATTCATACAAGGCGAAAAACTAACAATACACTTGAAAATAAAACAAGTAGAGCTGTAATAATGTTAGGTTTGACCCCATAACCACGGCCGATATCAATATTTGCGTTACTGGTTGACTGAGACGGGCCAGTTACAATATTGTGGGAATGACCAGAACATAAATCAGTGTCTCACAATGGAAAGTCTTGGACTTCAATGTTTTGAGAACGTTTTCAAATTCATGTCAACAATAACCACAGCCTGATCTATATAAAGCTTCTGTGAGGTTTTAAAGGGTTATGAAACAGACTGAAACTAATTTTGACATTTAATGACCTATAAAAACAAAACAAACCATTGGCGACGGCACTGACAGCTTTTGTGGTTATTTTTTATGTCTGAAACAGCTGGGCAAAGGGATTAGATACAAGCTGCCAAACAGCATTTTTTACTTTCACTACAGCAAAGGCTCTCGTCATACATCTGACTTTTAAAAATCAGGATTAAATTCTTTGTTAATGTCACACAAGAGGTACTGCCAAGCCCCAAAGTTTCTAAGTGTGCCATACCACTAACATGCCTCAATACTTGTTTGTCTGAAATGACGAGGCAACTTTATTTGGATCCAAAGTATGGCTGTTTGGTACTTTCATGGTGACATAAGAGTCATTTAGGTCCTCTAAAATCAGCCTATAATCTTTGTCACCAAGCCAAAGTATTCAAAAGCGTGTCCAATCGCCCGTTAAACAGTATCATTACATACAGCTAAACATGGATGCTGATTGTAAACATGCTTGTAGAAGACCGAGTTGAAGAAAATTGGTCAGTCATTCAGTATTTCCTCAAGGCAATGGTTTCCTGGATATATATATTATATAATATCTTCCTTAATGTTGTAAATATTTGTACGACTGTTAATTGTTGAGTCTCCAGGACTTAAACAACACAGGTTTTGTGTTAACTTGCAAAACAATGGTTTGGATTTTTTTGTGTTTCAACAATCTTCAAAGCTCTTGTGAATTCTTCTTCCTCTGATGTCAGACGGGTTACAGCCAGGACATGAACTTTTTAAATATTAAAAAAACATCTTCTCTGCAGACTTTCCATGAATAACAACCTCAAGTATTTGATTCTGTGGGACGCGGCGATATAGAGAACAGACCTATACCATTTATGGTGAGGAGAGGTGTTATTTTGTGCCAATGTGTAAATCCTTCTGTAGACGCCCAAACATTCCCGTGTGCGCCGGGAGAGCAGGATCAAAGGCTGCCTGTGGGCTCCGCAGGCTTTACAGGCTCTCACTGTGTGTGTTTGTGTGCTTTTTTAGAGTGCATACGTGTGTGTGTGCAGGGAAGTGTGTGTTCAGGTGGAGCTGCTCATGCTGAGGTCTCTGTGCAGTAAAGTGTAAAAAGGCAGAAAGTTGTTCCAACACCTGTGAGGGAGCAGCCAAAACTGAAAAACACAGGAAAAGTTATATCACACACTTCAGGGAATTACACACCAGACGACCTGACCTGGTTCTCCCCCTGAACTACAGGCCTGTTATAAATTTTAACTTTTGACTTCCATCAGCAGCATTTGAAACAAACTGCTCTTCTTACAGTCACGAACATGGAAAGTGCTCTGTTCACATTATTGGTTATCATAGCAGCTTTTGACACCACTGAGCAGTTTGTTGGTCCATGGAAATACTTACAGAGAGAAAAGGTCCTTTTCTTTTGTTTGTTTTCTTGACAAAAGATTGTAAATGTGTCTCATCACTTAAAAGCATAAGTTGTGGTGTTCCTCAGGGTTTATCTTGGGTTCTCTGTTGTTTGCAAGATGTTCTCTAACATCTCTATGCAGATAATATTCAACTGTGCTTATCTCATAAACCTCAACATTTCTTCTAGATGCCCATCCTACTTAACTGTGCTCACTTTATAAAAGCCTGGATGGCAAAAACAATTTTACCTGACACTATCTATGTTTACATGTGCAAAATTTTTTGATCCGATTAAAAATTTGAGGGATCAGATAATCTGAATCCACTGTTTATATGGGAGCAAAATTGAATAATCCGATCATGGCGTACGTATAGATGCACCAAGCTTTAATCAGATAGAAGCATTTGGACATGCGCAGAGTTGTCTGATTTCACTAAAACAATAGCAGAAGAAGAGTTGTATTTATGCCTGTGCTGTCAACAAACCAAAAAAAGCGGTAGTGGCTCACTTCATCCAATTCAGGAGTTTTACCCCTGTTAAATGTTGTCACTAGATGGCGCCCTTGTGTACTTATTTTACTGTTTTGTCAAAGGTTGCACCATGCGTGCAGATGTGACATCATTACGCTGTATGTACGACTTGTTAAGTTACTGGAGTAGCAGACATGGCATGTGCGGTTGTGTTTTATGCCAGAGTGTTAATAATGAAACCTCCTGTACTGACTTCAAGAAATAAGCCAAAGGCTAAAGAGTGAAGATCAAGTCAGGTAAGAGAGTCATGATCGGACTAAGTATTTACATGGACCAGTTTTGGAATAACGATCGGCATAAACCACCCCTCTCGATCGGAATACAATTTCTTTCCAATTGAGCCGAATTGGATCAGAATCTTCCGATCGACATGTTTACATGACACGTTTTTATTCCAATCGGGCGTTTATTCCAATTATTTGTGCCCATGTAGACGCAGCTACTGATAAAACTGAGTTTCCAATCTCTGTGACTGATCATGCTGTCTCAGAGGTGTAGAAAAGTGGAGACCCAAACAGGGACGCCACGAAAACCAAAATACCAGCAGAAGGTCAATCCACAATGAAAATGAAAAGGATGAACTCATGTTGATTATACTCCCTCTTTCACTTGTTCTCCCCAGCTTCTACTGTGTCAGTCATGAGCTCCAAAATGGAGGAGGGCCCCCTGACGCAGCTGCCCCACACAGCCCACCGGCGTGAGAAACGCTGCTCCTGTGAGAACCAGAAGGACAAGGAGTGCATTTTTTTCTGCCACATCGGGATCGTCTGGGTCAACACCCCAAGGTGAGCATGCTGCATTTGTTTTTGTTTTTTTTTTCTCTGTAGTGGAGCGCTGCAGCATTGTGCTAAATGTTAATGTATGATCATAAATCAAACCAAAGATAGAGTGTGACCAACACTCATTGTGAAAACTCAGGGTTCGCTCTGCAGCAACAGCAGCTGGGAGGGCCTCTCAGGGAGGGCTGGAGGTGTGCACAAACATCAGCGGAGTCCAGAGCTCAGATAAACTCTCAGTGTTGTGCCAGGTCAGGGGTTTTTCAGGAGGAAATAACAGTTCACAGCTCTGAAAGCAAAGTCAGCCTTACAAACACAACTGATATGATCCGAATTTTAAATAAAATCATACAAATGATGGAAATCTTGGACTAGCCGAAGGAAATATCTGGGAAGTATTTTCACAGACAGAGAGATATTTGAAAACTGACAAAGAATCTGTGTTTTCTTTCTGCTAAAATATATTTTGTTGCTCCCTTAGGCTACTTATTATGATTTTATACACCCAATACACCCGAAAAATGACAGGATTCAAGCTTACTGTTTTTTCTGGAATTATCCAATGAGCAGACCCGATGAACTTAGTGAATTAAATCAGATTTTTCAGGTTTGCTGGACAAACCTAGTAAATCTATCGTGTATAGCTCCCGGTCTCTTCTACTACAGAGCCATGCTGTTGTAATCCATACAGAATGTGGTTTGTCATTGTCTTGCTATAATATGAAGGTCTTTCCTGGAAAAGTCAATGGCCCCGTTTACATGGGTCCAAAAATCCTATTTACAATCAGATTGAAAGGTCAATCAGATTCAAAATGTCTCATATAAACACCTTAGCCAATCTGATTCACCCGGATCTGATTGTATTTTGGGTCGGATTGTAAGAGGTAGTCTACACCGATTGATAATCCGCTCCATGCTCCATATATACGGCTGAGTGGAGCGGATTGGGTTTACAGAGAGGCTTGCTCGGTCTGCGCAGGCGCTCCATAGTACGTAAGAGGCACATAATGACGTACGCAGAGCGCGCCCGAACGAAAACAAACATGGCGAACAAACAGAAAAACTGGACGGTGGAGTGTTAAAGTGTGTTGTTTCGTGCGACTGACGAAGCGTACACGTCTTGCTGTGTAACCCGGCTGGATTATACTTTTATTAAACTTCAACACATAGGGTTCCTTACTCTGCTCGGTAATTTCGGCGGTGTCACACACAAACACGTCCGTGCACAACTCTAAAACGGAACTAAAACAATGGTTCCCATTAACAATTCCCATTGATACAATACAATGCAATCGGATTCAGCTGGGGCCATAAAAACACGGATTGAACGTGGATCTCTTTACTTAAAGGTCATGTATACAGATGGAATCAGATTCACTTAATCCGATTGATTTCAATCAGATTGAGGAAAACTCATAGACTGTATATAAGATATATATATATATATCTTATATATATATATATCTTATATACAGTCTATGGGAAAACTACCCATGTAAACCGGGCCAATGTCTGGATGGCAGGAGATGTTGCTCCTAAACCTGTAGATATTGTTCAGCGTTAATGGAGCCTTCACAGATGTGGAAGATACCCATGACATGGACTCACTGAAGCGTTGTTTTAAGAGGGTTAAACTTACGCTTTGTTTTCCTCTTCATGACGATATATCCTAAAAAAAATCCTCTTCTGTTACATTCTTTTACGCTTGACAGCCAACGTACACATCTGTGTTTTCAAAGCGGTGTGATATCAGCTTGTTTGATGGCATCACATTGTTTCTGTTTGGACTCTGAGATGGTTCACAGTGAGTGCTGCTCCGCTGAATAACAACGTAAAAGTGATGTAGTGGTCATGCCAGACAAGTCAAAACAACACAAATCATACTGTCCTCTTTAGCTGAGATTTATGTCTTTACTTCATACATGGATGTCAGAAGAAAAGCCTGTACAAGCTGTTAGAAACATTCAACACCACAAAGGCTTCATGGATGTTTCATTCAAATATTTCATTTTAACTCCTGAAATTGGTGTTTGTGTGTTGTTGTTTATCAAGATGGTGGCTTTGTAAAAAGTGCCTGACTCTGAAAATAAGGCATCTGTAATAATACTGTCAGACACAGAGAGTAATGACCTGAGCCTGTAGGCTGCGGGAAACTTCTGGCACATTTTAAAGCCTAAAGATTAAAAAATATGGCCGTAGTTTAACTTTAGAGCATCTAAAGCTCCTTTAATGGGTGCAAACAGCCTGACATCCAACACTCTCTGTGGGAGTCCTCAGCTTTTCTCTGTTGTGTTTTGTGTAAATTGACATACCTCAGAGATTCTCTTTCAGACATTTCTGGCCGACAGAATGAGAGATTTGGAGAAATTAAAACCAGTGAAATCACTGCCTATTAATGCGAGGAGATGGATATCATGATTTAAACTGATTAAAAGCAGGAGAGTTAAGGTCCATCTTGGCCTGTAAACCTGATGTTATTCATTTCTCAGGTCTCAAGTCTAAATCTCATGACCTGAAATAGGAACCAGCCAAATAGCTGCCTGCAGATTAAGCAGAAGTTAACTTCACTGTAGTTCAGTGTGCTCAAGCAATGAGTAAGCAGTAATATGTGGTGGAGTTAATAAGAAAGGGCACCTTTACTGAGGAAGGGTAAATCCTGCCATGTTTCCACTTACTGGCTCTAAATAACATGTTTTAACCCTTTAACCCACTTAGGAGACCACAGACTCCCAAATCACTGTGGTCAGAACCACGACCCGTTAACCCCTTTACTGCGACTTTACGCTCCTCCAGTTTACCTTTCTGTCAGCGCTGCTTTTATAATAACAGCTCCCTTCCTCCCTTCCTGATTTCAATCACCTTTATCTTATCTTGTGTGAGCATATCAGCAGTTTGAACAGATTTTACCCTCTTGGTTGATATATATCCGTCTACAAATATGACACTAAGGGATCCTCTGCCATCAAAGTTTTTCTTGTAGTTTAAAATAAGCCACATTAATTAACTTGTGGACAAGGAAAAGAGAGGTGTCACAGAAATAGCTTCCAGAGAGGAGCTGTTTTTAGCTCCTGGGACCCTCTCACTAAGTCTCAGATTGTTAGTTTAGTCTAAACATAGCAGCATGGTAAAATGTAATCTTCCTGCCTTTATTATAAAGGAGGATTTAAACAGCACTGGCAATGCCCACCATCACTAACTAGACCACCAAGCCCTGTGGGCAGCAGGGAGCTGCTGGGGGAGAATTTCCAGGAAACATCCTGTTAAAAAAAAAAAAAAAAAAAAAAACGTTTTGTTTTTAAGATGCGACTCTGTGCTTATTGTCTTATATAGCAATACAGTAAGTATAAAATCACTATGTGCAGCAATTAAGTATTTTCCCCCTAAACCAAACAGTTTCCTTTAACAGCAGGACCAGGGTGCCTGAAAAAAGAAGCTCAAGTCTGCATGAAAACACCTTTAAACAGAGACTGCCCTTTTTACTGTAAACAAAATCCTGGATCCTGTTCCAGTGCAGAATCTTAAAACAGATATGTAGGAATAAACCTGACGGCTGCATCAATCTGACAGTAATACCCGTCTTTAAGGAGTATGTTTTGTTTTGAAATTCATTTGCAGTTTTGAAACAGTAACAGATGGTTTGAAACTGATGTTACGGGGCGTTTTAATACTCACACATAGTGATACAAACTGGAATCTGAGTCTAAGGGGAACTCTTAAACACATGCCAGGGTTTCAGTAAATACCTAAAACTTATGTTCCTTGAAGTCACATTCAAAGTGTCTCTAAAATTGGAAACAAACAACATATTTGCTCTCACTTGAGAACTTCCACTTGAACAGACTCAAAGGGGTCAAACAAAAACCCAACATTACAGCGGTGAACTTCTAAAACATACACTGAAATGGATACCAGGTATTACCCCACAGCACATAATAGAGTACCTTAAAACGTAGTCCAGACTGAACAACAATCGTGCTCATAACAAAAACTTGACATCTTGGTTAAAAAATTAGTCAAATAAGGAAAATTGAAAAATGTTCAAGGGGACCATAAAGTAGCTCTTTAAGGGGCCCCTGAGACTTAAATTAGGTATTTATCAAAAAGACAGAAAACTTTCGAAAAAGCCCTGGATCTGTAACAAAAGACTTAATAGAGTTAGTTTGCAAATTAATATCTAAGCATACTCTGAAATAGTTTTCATGGGTACCTAAACACAGATGTAAATAGGTACATCTAATCAAAGAGGAATATTAAGAGAACTGTCAGAGAGAAACCAAAGAAATTCAGCAACAGGCGCTAAAGGGTATCCCAGAGGACCTTAACCCCCTTGGGGAGCCCCCAAGACACTAAAAAGGTACCTCAGAGCAAATACCAGAGGGTTCCTTGGAACAGCTGCTTCAGGGCGCTGTAAGACAGAAATCTTTGAAAATGAGGCCAAAGGGAGACTGTTTGCAGATGTTTTAGAGAGTGATGAAACTGACAACTCGGTGTATAAGTGCCGGATAAATTGTGCATGACTGTATTTGGGTGGATAACTCGTGGTCATAGCGCTTTGTTCTTGTCTGACAATTAAAAACACATCAGCCAGCCATGCTGTGGGAGAGAAAGGCTTGTTTCTCCCGCAGCATTGGTATTTCAGTGTTTTAGAAAACTACTGACCCATTTTTCCTTTCAAATTACTTTTATTGTGTTTTCCTTGGACGTATTTCAACAGTGAAAGTCAGGGCGCAAGGGATTCACTTCAACACCTAAAAAGAAAAGGGAAGAGTAATAATAATAATAATAATAATAATAATTATAGATAGATAGATAGATAGATAGATAGATAGATAGATAGATAGATAGATAGATAGATAGATAGATAGATAGATAGATAGATAGATAGATAGATAGATAGATAGATAGATAGATAGATACCAAAACAATGCAAATTAAATAAAATAAAATAACCATATAAAGTAAATAGATATGGGGGGAAATAAAGTAAAGTAAAACAAACAAAAAAATACCAAATAATTAAATAAAGTTTAAAAAAAAAGGGGTGGGGGCATAGAGACAAATACAAACACGCAGGAAGGGACAGAGACGCAAGGAGAAGGACTGGGGGTGGGGGGTCTGGTTGTGCATTCAATCACTATTACTCAGCTAGGTCGAAGCTGTTGTGGTTCTTCCTTCTTAACATGGAAACGTATCTTTCTGAGCTGTTTTAACAAAGGGTCTGAGCTGAGAGTGTGATACAGAAAAATGCCAGAAAATAGGCAAATGTTGTTGACTTTGGTGTTTTAAGGAACAGAAAGTCACCAAGATGGCTGTAAAAATGTACCAGCAGCGCAAACAAGAAGAACAAGTAATGCCCAGGATAGATTTTACTTGTACTGGATTGGTTTTTGAGGATTTTCACCCTCACGCTTGTAAAACTAAGTGTTGTTGTTTGGTTGACACACAAGAGACTCTGACCATCCAGACAGGCAGAGGTCCAAACCAAACACAAGCTAATTGACATCAGAGAGACTCCTCCAGGACCAGAGTCACTCCGGTGAACTCAAACAGACACTTTGGATCACAGTTAACATTTGGTGAACAGATTGATTCAAGGGATTTCCAGCAGGCAGACATAAACAACTTTTATTCTGCTTTCAAGGATGTTGACAAGCCTCTGACTGTCAAGGACAAACTCCCAAACATTGTGTTACTCTAGAGGATTGTCTGCCAAATATCCTCGTCTTTAGTGTTGTAAAAGTGCCACAGAAAGATTCAATACAAAACCCCATTCATAGACATAAGTCTACACATATCTAGTGTTAGTTTACTTCAGCTCTTGCTGTCTGATAGTCCCTATTGAGGTAGACGGCCATCCAACAATGTGTTCTGCTTCAGGTTTCTGTGCAGTGGCCAACAGAGGCAAAACTTCTGCAGCAGCCCAAACGATCTCTTTTGGGATAAAAGTGCTGCAGAAGTAGAAATGACACAACCTCAATGACACATGCAACCAGCCAAAACAAGAACACACTGTAAAAGTTGGAACATGAACAGCAAAAGTGTGATAAAGTTGTGTCATCCTTGTCCTCCCCTTGAAAAGTCTCACCTATCTGCAGCTGCTTTCTGCTTTTTGCACTTACAGCGTGTTTGCGGTTCATGCAGTCATTTCGGCTCCTTCTCGTGAAGAACACTTGGATAGCTACAGACATTGCCGTTGTTATCCACCATATATCTTCCTCCTAAAAAAATCACGTTTCCTGCTTGAACATGTCCCACTCCGCAGCTTCTGCTTGAATTGTGAAAGCAGATTTTAGAAACTCGTAAAACTTTGTCCTTAAATGTTGGAATATTTATCCATCACTGTAGTTCTGTATCCTCCAGGAATTTTCCAGTACCAGTATCCTGCCAACAACACTGAGTATCACCCTAAAGTAGAAGGTTACTAGGAGTCCAGCAGACCTCAGAGCAGAGGAGCTGTAACTCAGAGAGCCGCAGTTTAGGGGGGGGTCAGTGAATTTATTGATCCCTGTGGTCGGACTCAGTAACAACAGAGAGCAGCCTATTGACCCCTCAGCACCAAAATGAAGACTGAAGAATGGAAGAGGAGCCAAATAGAATCAAAGTTATCAAAGTGTGCAAAGAAACTGCAGTAAAAAGAGGCTGGAGCAGACAGAGGCGGGAGATTTGATGGTAGAGAAAAGAGGAAGTCAGTGAGATAAAAGCCTTGTTTTATCTCAGACTGTAAAACGGAAATTAGACCCAGATGTGTGACCATGTGATCCAAAATTACTCCAAACTGTGCAAAGTTATTCAGTACAAATAAACTGAAATACATCCAGGAAAGCTGCTCATCAAAGTCAGGGACTTATCACACAAAAGGACCCAAAAGAAGACAGGTTTTATTCTAAGCTGATGTGTCCCTGTTTTACATTGGACCTCAAAGCCACCGGCATCTGCTGGCTGTTCTCCCTGTGGTGTAGTTAATCTCACCACTAATTCAGAGGTGAAACCCCCCCAAAAACCTTCAGCCGGCTGAGTTCTGGAGCACCACAAAGACTAGAGGACGAAAAAAAAAAAAAACAAGGCGGCAAACAGATTCTGTAACATGTTTCTTCAGAGAGATGGAGGGAAAACAGGAGCAGAGAGTCTGTTTGAGTGAGCCGTTACCTCACACAGTCTCTCACAGAGTGGTGAACCTCTTCCCAGAGACTCAGCCTCTCTGAATGTCCTTTTTATACCCAGTCATGTTTCTAAACTGTTGAAAACTAACCTCATAGGTTAGAGATGTTCCTCCAGCTGCTTTGAGAGACATTCGTCATTGATAATAATTTAAGTGTTTAGTCCTTGTAGTCTATGATGAGGGATTAATTACCCCATCTCTTTCTCTGTCCTGCAGCCACGTGGTCCCTTATGGATTCGGATCCGTTCGGCTTAGGAGGGAGCTCGGACGCTGCCTCTGCACGGCCTCTCAGGACACCGAGTGTTTGAGCTTCTGCTCCGCCCACACGCAGACAGAGTGAGCGTGCACACACAAACACACATATACACACACAGTCTTATAAACATGAATATTAACTGTATTTTCTTTCTCAGAGTGGATGGTGCTTTGGTGGACAGGAAATCTGACAAACGGTCGAAGGGAAACTGGGAGGCATTGTGGGAAAAAAGGAGCCGACACGCGCTCAAACAGAAGACCTGAGAGAGTTGAGGAGGCTCTGCAGTAACACACTATCTATCCATCAGAAATAACACAAATGGACCCTTTAGTGTGTCTTCCTGCCCTGACAGGAGTGTGACCATGACTTGTGTGTGTGTGTGTGTGTGTGTGTGTGTGTGTGTGTGTGTGTGTGTGAGAGAGAGAGAGAGAGAGAGAGTGTGTGAGAGTGTGTGTGATGTAAATGTAACACAGTGAAGTGTTAGGATAGGAGTACTAACCACTTTTGATCAGGCTGACGACAAAAGGAGGAGCTGGTGGAGCTGGGTGTTAGCGGATTATCTTGGCTGATTTGTGGCTCTGAGGGAACAGAGACTGTGGATACTGAGACATCTGGAAATAAGAGGCTGATATATAAAACTTTTACAGATTTAACCTTTAAACTCCTCAGCAGATTTTGATATAAAACATCTTTTATACACTACAGTAACGGTCTCATGTGCAGCTTAATAAATCTTCCTTTTCTGATCGAGCTTGTGAAGAACAGTCTCTAAAATCTCTGCAGGCAAATACATCCAGCTGCAAATGATATTTCTTAAAAGAATTGTCTGAATCTTGTTATTGCGGTCAGACAGTGAAATTTGTTTAGTGGCTTTAAGGTCAAAAGTACCCCATAAATTAATATCGTAAAGCGATCACAGGCAAGTTTAAAGACATACGGAATGGAAGTAATGACAGGGTAAAACAACAAAACGACCATGAAGTAGACTATGATATATGATGAAGTGTTTGAGGAATAAATTAATATATATTTAGAGAGTAACAGACAGCAGCAGTGTTGCACTAAAACATCCAAAACTAAGATTTAGAGTTTGAGAGCTTTTGAACAGTCAATCTGTCAAATTAGGTCAAGTTTCACTTTAAAACAACGTAAGAATTTCTTTAATAAAGATTTTACTCTAAAATGCAATAAAATCAAGTTAAATATTCAAAACAAAAGAAAAAAGTTAGTGAGGAAAAGTTTTAACTAAGAGTCTTAAAACTTTTAAAATTTTTATGTCTAAAAAAAATGACATTTTCAAACTCTGTGAGGTAAAATTACTGTTGATAATTGTTTGATCTCATGGAAGAGTCCTTACTTTATTGTTAGACACTTATCAAAACAACCAGACCCCCTTTCCTAACATGCACCCCTGAAAATCTGCAGAAAATCTCTGTTCTGCTCACCCTTGAATTCCTCTGTCACTCATTCTTAACAGGGGAAACATTACACTGTCGGACAGGGCTGGGGAAGAAAGATGTGACTTATATCGGATCCCATGGAAGTCATTGTGTTTACAAGGTATCTAAGATGGTTAATACAGCAGATGATTCTGACTTTATAATGCAGTTGTCATATTTAAAGCAAAAACGGATCAGCTGTGTAAATAAACCACTTATGGTACCTGGTATCTAAATACTAGAGCACTCTGTCGTCTATCCCTTCGATCTGTTCTCTTTTACTCACACAAGCATTTTCAGATTTATTTTTTGACCCCGTCATCTGATGTTCAACATCTCTGGTACACTGGAAACCATTATCTTAAAATCAGCACCACTACTCGACCTCGGTAACTGAATAACTCTGCCTACTTTTGAGTCTTTATTCTGGACAATCACTGTGTCTCTCCATCTTTGGTGGAGCAACGGCTGAAATATTCCCTTTACAGATAAATTGAACAAATGTTGGAGTCTACTGATCCGTGACTGTCAAACAATCTCACTTTTCCCAGATGCATTTTGAGGAAAAGAAACTGTCATTTTTGGGTCAGCACAAATTGAGGTTTAAAAATACCAGACTTCATTTTTGACACAGTTTTGTGGTCTAACTAAAACTACTCTAAGAGTCTCTGTTTTGTCAGCGTTTTGTCTTAGAGTCATGAGTCTCTGGATAAAAAAATAAGCCTAATAATCAAGCTGACATAATTCGATAACAATCAGCGCTCACTCACTGATGGAAAATGATAAAGTTTGACAAAGGCTATTATTCAGAGCTGTTCACACTGACACAAATACACAATGAGGAGTTTAAATGGAGCAATAAAAAGTCTTTGATTACACTCAGACATCTCACTCTGCCAGATTACAGATGATTAATCACATAATTAAAGACACTTAATGCTGGTTTTCCTCCTGAAGAGCAACTCTCTGTCATAGCTGATATAAACACTTCCATGTAAGATATATTAAATTACATCATGTTATGAATATATGATAATGAAATCCAGATCTGTTGGTTTCACTTTGCCTCGTTTTGTCCTGATGTTTTTAAGCTGCGACACGACACATCTGTAAGCTAGCTTTCGTAGGATGTTCTGAACACCTGTCTCTTTAAAATGTATTGCAACATATATGTACGAATGTTGATTATTTTATTGCAGGATATTTATTTTGTTAAAGATTTTTAAATTCCTTAAACACATTAAAAACAACCTTTAAAAGCTGCGCTGTAGTTGTGATCTTTTCATGCATGCAAACATCTGTGGGACAAGCTCAGACAAACAAATGTGAATACTTTGGCTCTAACATAGCGACGTATTGTTGGAGACGGTTTCCAGGGGATCCAATGGGACGGATTGGAAACCAGCAAACATCTATTAGATTCCCGGTGGCTATAATTCACGGCTGCAGTCTCTGGAACTGTCTCAGTGTACAGGCACGTCTGTAATGTGTTGGCTGGGATCCTGCTGCGGGTGGCTGCAGGTGTTGAGCTGACAGAGAGCTCCATCCTCTTTACAAACAGCGATAAATCACAGAACAAGAAAGAAGACGTCTGCACTTAAGCACTTTTAACGCAGCCATGTTTGGAAAAAGCACCCATGTTCACGAGCTCAGATTTAATTTTAACGTATGAATGCTGAGTACAAAGTCTGGGAAAGTTTATATGTTAAATATTCTAAAGACGTTTCTATAACTAAGATGTTTTTTTGTGCAAACTAAACAACATTCAGAAACAGCAGAGAGTATAAAGAAAATGCAAATCAGACTGCAGTTCAAGCGGTACCATGGTCTGGATGAATACTGGATACTTACTGGTTTCAGGATGTCACATAATATCTGTCAAGGAACACCGTCAAAGAATAAAATGGTTTTATGTCAAAGTTATGGATGAAGATCTCTGAATTCACAGCTGAATAAAAATGGAGGTAAAGTATTAAACAAGGCAGTCCAGCCTTTAGGACACAGCAACACACAGTCTTCAGGTCATCAGCAAAGCCTGTAGGTCATTTCACACAGTCAACAAATCATCAGTAAAGATTACAAGTCATCTGCCCAGAGCACAGATCATCAGCGAAGTCTCAAGGTCATTGGCACAGCCAGTATCAGCAAGGTCTGGAACATCTCAGTGCAGTCTACAGAAGTCCAGGACATCATAGCATGTTCCACTTCTTCCAAAGTTTATGCTCCTTGTCATGACAGTGAGATAACAGCGGTGTTATGATGTGATACTGTGATGTATTTGACTTGAACCTGGGGTGAGAGAGACTCCGACAGAACAACAGTTTTGATTCCTTTTGCTGACGGTGTTTCTCAAAGGTATGCATTAGGCCCAAAAATATCACTCTTGAACACTGGCGGTCCAAGCCCCCTTTGGGAAGCCTGAGGCCCGACCAGGTCTGGGGTTGTTAAAGATGAATTACAACCAAAGTCAACATAACACACTTGATGGACAGTTTGGATATTTCTGCCTGTGGATAAAACCTTGTAAAAAGACTCACTTTTTTTCTCATGTTTTGGTGGGTATAGTAATCATAGTGTTTACTTTGACAGTCAAACATTATTTTGTACCTGAGGGGCTTTGGGGACTTTGCATTTTAGAGGGTGGGCTCTAGGGGAGACAGGTTAGTGGAGACACAGCTCTGAGATGCTGGTGCCTTGTGTTTTTGGCTTCTACCAGGCATTTCTCTAAATTCCTCTCGTGGGCGAGGTTCAACAAGAGAGAAACATGGGTTCTGTCTCTTAGGACCAACTAGCGTAACTGTTAGCATAATGACAGGTTCTGTCAGAGAAAGCAACAAGTAGGCTATGACTCATGGGCTAACAACCACGTTAGCATCGGCACACTGATTAAATAACAGACGGACAAATAAATCACATTTGGACATCTGGTGCATTTTTGAGCGTAAATATGAGGTTAGGTGACGATGTGGGGAGCAGAAAAAGACAAACAACGATGTCAGCTAGATAAACTATAGAGGTGGTCTGTTTAAGGAGCATCTTTTACGCGTGTGTAAAAGACAAACTGTTAAATTAGTTTGAAATTTGTGGTTTTCAGACTGCAGCACTTCAGATATATCCATATATCACAGGTTAAATCAGGAAAGGCCTCACCTTGACTGATACATACCTGTTTATTCTCTGAAACATTTCTGATTATACCAGACTTTATCGTCCACATGCTGCGCAGAGCCCAGGAGCATCCCGACGCTACAACACTTCAACAAAACAAACATTTGTTGGCATTAGAAATGCGAGCTCTAAATCTAACCACTCATTGTTCTGCCAACTGCAGATTCCCTCCAGGTTCATGAAGTGGGACGAATTAGTCATCAGACAAGAGGCTGTTTGTGTTTGGCTTTGGAAAAAAAAAACGTCTTCTGGATGGCAGCCATGTTGTTGACAGCAGAGAAAGCAGGAGGAGAAATGTGGTATTTGACATGATGGCACCAGTTTTATTAACTTTGTATGACAGAACACAAACACAGAAAACACAGAGGGTAACCTGAGCAGGGGCACTTTAGGGAAAAGGATACATAACTGACGAGACGCCAGTCCCTAATTTCTGCGCATCCATTTCAAGATTCAACTTGGTCTTTGTGGGTTTTTTCTTCAGTCAGACCGTTCAAAAGTAAAGCATCTAAAGATGCTGTAGTTACTCTGAACTCTGGTAAAGGATGGTTGGATTAGGGCCTTTGAATGCGGTCATGTTAATCATGTTAACAGTAAAAGGGACAGGCTGAATGCTCTCTTGTGGTTTTCACAAAATCACAAATTTTTTCCAAAAGCTGCTGAAGTATTAAGTGCTTCAATGGGGTAGATGTAAAGATAATAATATTATTGATGTTTTATTGCAGGGGTATAACACTCTCTTGTCATTATTACTTTTATTTTGATACTGTAATCCTATTTTCTAATAGCTTTAATCCTCCACGCTGTGTGCCTGAGCTGAAAACTTTGTGAGTGAAACTGTCATTTCTCTACATGTCTATTCACAGATGTTTCATACTAGTAAGGAAGATGAATAATGATGTTGGAGTTTTAGTTTTATGATTAATGAAATTAGAGAGTATGTTTGGCTTAAGTTTTAGGCATTGAAATGAGACTGCTTAATGAATTACAGACCGGAGTCTGAGGGAAATGTTTGTCATCCAAATAATTACAAATGATTTCCATCCACGAGACTCGAACAGTTGTTAAATTTCGAATTTAAACAGCTGGTTCTCATCTTGTTGGAGCAAAATTATCTGATTCTGTTCCGTCACAACATCACCATCTAGTGGAGAAAAGCCTGCATCACAGAATAACCTGATCCAGGCACAGCATTCTGTGTGTCTTAAGTTGAAGTGCTATTTATTCATAACACTGAGGAGGGAAACCTGCCTGACCTGAGCAGCAGACTGACATCTTATTATGTAAAGCTTTTTTAACCTCAAGTATGACTCCCTACGATGCATGCGGGACTTAGAGTTTATTTGCAGTGTGGTTTAAGTGCTTTGGCTGCAGTAAAAGATCTAAATCTTTATTTTAAATAAAAGCCATTCACTGGAAATTCTGTCAGTTCTTCAATAAACCATACAGTGTATTGCAAACACATTGGATGAAAGCTGTTGAACATGTTTGTTCAAATATGCACCTCAAAAAACAATTTGATGAGAATTAAAATCAAATTGGCTGACTTCCTGTGAGGGTTAGAGTTGGGGTTTTAAGAGGATTTTTATAGGCCTTGGAGTTATACTTACACCATGCAAAAACAAAGCATGTAGGTTAAACCATTAGGTAAGGATGAATGTTTGAACTTTGGAAATTGAAAGGGATGCTGAGGCCCTAATGATATAAACACTGTGCTTCACTGAACTCTTTATCCACAGATCTGCATCCATCTCCACTCCGTCCCTCTGAGAGTTTTGGGTCATTAGAGGAAAATCTGGCACCATCTATCGGGCAGGTAGCAGACATACATCAACAGATAAGTACTCTGACACTGATAGGGAGGTTAGACTGGTTTGAGGTGTTTTGCTGAAGTGTTTTTTAGACTCTGGAGATAAGAGGGCGTGACAGTGTCTTCAAAACCTGATAAACACACAAACACTGTGTTTCTTTACATGAAGATAGAAGAGTCTGTAGGCTAAACTGCAACAGGTGAGGATCCCACTACATCATCTTATATAGAAAAACGTTTTTTTTAATGCAGCTGGTCATCTTCTAATGTCTTTTTGATGCTTTCAAATTTAAATATTATGTTAGCTGGCTCAGATAGTTTTACTGTTTTGACTGTGCATGAGTACCTCAGTGCAAGTGCACAAAAAATGTTGTTTTACATAAAAAAGCAAAAAGAAATCAGGTTTCCATTCAGAGTTGGAAGAGCAGAGAATTATTCATGCAGTCTGTAACCTGCTTCAATTAAGCAATCATCAGAGTACTTGTGAGCCTTAACAAGATCTTTATCATGAGATTGATGTTCAAAAATGGCTTTTAATGAGATCATGAAAAACAGTTCAAGTCCATTTTCAATTTTTTGGGATACATAAAATTCATGTACGTTTAGCTGGTAATGTTAAATGTGGCGTCATTCATGTGGTGGTTTACAGGAATCAGCAGCTCTGATTGTAATCTCTGTGTAGTGTGCCACTGAACATTTCGGGGAAAGTCAGAACTGGTTATACGACATGCTATAAACACAAATACTGCAAAAACCCTGAGTCTGACTCATTTCACAAAGGTTTTAAGTTTCCTGAAGGCTTAAAGTTTTTTTCTATAAGAACTATGACAGTGTGTCAGATGGAATTTGCAGCTGTTTAAGGTGTTTTTGTGGGTTTATCAATTAAAGTAAGTCTCGGAGTGGAAGGTATTGCGCTGAATACCACAGATTTTTCCATAAAGATCCAATGTCTCTCTTATATTTAACTTTTTGATAAAAATCACACCAAGGAGGCTGCTGTTGGCCTGGTGGTCTAAGTGCACTCCTTATGTGGCTCTCGCAAAAGAGGTTTGATTGCATTTGTCACTTTCACACCCCAGTTTCCTTCTCTATCTACTGTCCTTTCCTCTCTTGAAAAACATAAAAACCTGATAAACAAAGAAAAAAAAACATTTTTAAAAAGTTTAAGGCATATCTGACAGTTTAGCTGCTGTGTTAATTCTGGCAACTCTTATGCAAGGCAACATCACGCATTTCTACTGTTTTTTTTCTTGCAATTTAAAAGTATTTCTCCTTAATAAGTAAAGATGAATGAACAAACTTCCCTATGCCACTTTTAGACCAGTGGCGATTGCTCTAAGACTGCAAGGGAAGCTCGGCTTCCCTTAAAATGTCACCCCCCAAAAAAAAGAAAAAGTGGTGAAATACGTACGGCTGTGTGTACATTTCATTAACTAAATACGCACTAGAAAACCTTCATCTTTTGTTCAGACACTGTGATAAGAAGCTGATAATCACAGGTAACCGGCATAACTTCGTTCTCATTCATCCTCGCAGCGCCTCAGCGTTTTAAACAGCCGGACGCTGGGCTTCTGCTGACTTCAATGTGGAAGCTCAAAGTGGGTTGTTCCAGCAGCGAAACTAGACGCTCATTGGATAAATGCTGGGCTTTGTCCCGCCCATCAGAAGCCCAGCTTCACTGGAGTTCTATGGCGAGAGGGCGGTCCCGACTTTCTCCCGGACTCCGAGCTTCTGCATCCATGATTAGATGAGCTGTCTGAGGCGAAATCCTTTTTTGATTGACAGCTAAACAAGCGAATCAGCGATCTTGAAGAATAAAACATCTACCAGAGCATTTTCCAAGTTATTCATTCCGTTGTTCTTAACTGCTCCGGAGACTTTACCGATCCTCAGCGACTTTTGTCTTTGTTAAAAACGACTGCCGTTGTGTTTGGCGACTCTGTTCTGTTACATACTAATAAACAAATACAATTATGATGTAGGCCAGAAAAATGAGCTTCCCCTCCTTGAAAGACCAGCAGCCGCCACTGTTTTAGACTGATATAAACTATATGTGATCAGTGGCTGTTTTGGTGGCATGTTGTGATTTTTTTCATTTAGAGCAACAACTCCAAATTTCTTTACTGAAATACTATGATTCATCTGATCACTGATGGTTTTAATTTGTGGGCCATGTAGGGACATCAGTACTATTTCAGTTGGACTCTTCCTCAGCTGAAAACAACTAAAAAAAAACTTCAATCTCAGTAAAATGTGTTTAAGTCTCTTTGTTGAGCATAAAGAGCATAAGAGCATAAAAGAGGCACCACACAGAACTGGTGGCATAGGATCCAAACAACATACTTCTTTATTATAAATGATGCTCTGTTACAATATTTGGTTTTGGACTTAAAATGAAAAACACACTTTAGACTTCTTGGGCTCTGTAAAGATTTTTTTGTTTTTTATCTGTAACAGCATCCCAAACTTTTTTAATCCTATTTGGATAATCAAATCCTGATGTCAGCTCTTAGCATAACAGAGAACGTTAAACCATTTTATGATGCAAATGTCCATGGAAATGGATTATGTTTTGTTTTTGTGAAGATTTGGCAGTACTATGAATCGGAGTGAAGAAAGAAGGGAAGGGGCCCCTCTGAATAAAACCCCTGTGAGTAAGGACTGTGGTTGCCACACCAAACCTCAGAGGTAAGATGATTCTTCTCCCCTTTAAAATACTGTTCACCCAAACTATGGTATGTTCAAACAAATTTGTGTGTTGTGTTTAAGTCTACAGACACAACATGGACCACACAATACTGAACATGGACCTGGACCCAGCTGTATGTCTACCAAGAGTGACAAGTCCATCGATCGTTTCATTGACCTCAAAGGTGGAGAGCACTCTTCTGATCTAAGGTAAGACCCAATCCCTGTCCAATTCCCTTGACCCCACCCCTAATTTTTGAGTGTATTGGTGGCCCATAAAAAGATGAGCCACAAAGGCCACACGAATTAGAACCTGGCAAATGACCTCAAGCTCAGCCAGCTTTGACATGCTCCTATATAGACAGGGGAACTTCATAAACAAGGCAAGACTTAATTCCAATAATTAACAGTTTGTATAACACCACCAAGTGGTTGAATGGGTTGAACCCTTTGAATTTGACTTAAAGGTTAAGGTTCTGGAGAATTTACCAAGAAACCCCCACCCCTGTTCTAACCCAATCAGTTTTAATCAATCTAACCCTACTTTTGGTAGCCTTTCATTACCAAATGGTTCTTCGCAGGAAAGCTACATGTGCAGGACTCTGACTCTGTAGCCCAGAGAATCAGACACAGCTATAATGTCTTGGCAGTGCATCTAGGCCAACAGTAGAACTGCAATGTTTGTGAAATAAATTAACATTAAGTAAGTTTGGACACCAGTTTGTCAGGTGAAAATGATCCTTGCTGTTGTTGTGTTTGAGTCCCAAGAAACAGAAAAGACCAGGCTGTCCTGAACCAACATTTATGTCCACCAAGAGTGACCAGTCAATTGGTCATTTGATTAACTTCCAAAATGGACAGCACTCCTCTGATCCAAGGTAAGGCCCAATCCCAATAGTATACCCTTATGGCTTACATATTGTCAGTACACTTGCTAGGAAATGGGACATGAATGGAAGAGCCACAATGGAATTGGTTGAAGATATTCCCCGGAAAACCCCTTTATAAATTTTTGAGACCCAGTCTTAACTCCATCCTCTTGACCCTATCCTTCCAGTGCCTTCACTTCATTTCCAAAGTTAGTTTTTAGTAAGAATTTTTCCAGAGAGCATTAACTAGATTGGTAATAAAAAGTGACTTGAATGATGATCATATCTGGTTTCAATATGTTTCTTTCAGCATCCAACAACAAATGCAGAACTCACATGGACCAAGTTGTATGTCTCTGAGTGACAGATCTGTAGATCGATTTTATGACTTCAAAGGTGGAAAGCAGTCAAATGATCAACAGTAAGGGTTTCAAGTGGATATTTCTAGCAGTCCTATTTAAAACTGTTAATTCTGGTGTCATACTTTATACTGTGTTCTAGTTTAAAGCTGATGAAGTTAATTGTTTGAGAACTAGTACATTAGCTTAGTGTACAAATTAATGTACGTTTAAAGCTTTTTTCTCTACAGAGTTTCTCAGAAGAACAAAGAGGTTTACAGTGATCAGCAGCCTCCTATAGACCTGGACTCTGTATTTTCGGTATGTCCATGTACCAGCAAAGTCATTAATAGAAATTAAACATTTTGCTAAATCAGTTAAATAAGTAACCAAGGTAACAAAGCATATTGTTTGGCAAAGGACATAACAGGGCAAAAACATTAATGGTTTCAATTTACAGGACAGAAAAAAACAGCACACACACAAAAAAAACAAACAAACAAAAAAAAAACAGTGAAATCAAAGTTGCAAAATGTCTCTCTTTTCCAGCTCCTTCAGGGAAAAATTGTCACCTTTGTGAAAAATGAGCTAAAGAAGTATCAGCAGGTTCTAACCAGAGATGACCCAGAATTCCCAGAGAGTGGGGACAATGGGATTGGTGATGATACAGGGCTAAGAAGCAGTAGAGAGGCACTTCTGAAGATCACACTGCACTTCCTGAAGCTAATGAAGCATGAGGCCCTGGCAGACAGTCTGCAAAGCAGTGAGTCATTTTACTGAACTTTCACGTTTTTGCAATACCAAACAAAAGAAACATGGCTGCTGGGAATATTACTTTATGCTGCTTCAAGTTACTAAATCTGCATCAAAGTTGGCAAGTTGGCAGATTTTCCCACTGAACTTCCCTTTCAACAGATACGTACAAGATAAGATCAGCAAAGAAACAAGATGTATTACCTTGTCCACTTCAGCACCAAAAACAGCTGACATCAAAAGTTCCCCAAAGATCTTGGCTTTGATTTGAGTTTTGTTTTGTTTTGTTTGTTTTCCAGGAAACCAAGCCACAATCTGCCAGCACAAAATGAAGTCTCACCTGAAAGACAAGTTACAGTGTCTCTTTGAAGGAGTTGCTCAAGCAGGAAACCCAACCCTTCTGAACCAGATCTACACAGAGCTCTATATCACAGAGGGAGGGACTGGAGAGGTCAATGATGAACATGAGGTCAGACAGATCGAAAGGGCATCCTGGAAACCAGACAGACCAGACATAATTATCAGACAAGAGGACATCTTTAAAGGCTTACCAGGAAGAGAGGAACCAATCAGAACAGTGATGACAAAGGGAGTGGCTGGCATTGGGAAAACAGTCCTAACAAGGAAGTTCACTCTGGACTGGACTGAAGACAAAGCTAACCAAGATATACACTTCACATTTCCATTCACTTTCAGAGAGCTGAACGTGCTGAAAGAGAAAAAGTTCAGTTTAGTGGAACTTGTTCATCACTTCTTCACCGAAACCAAAGATGCAGGAATTTGCAGGTTTGAAGACTTCCAGGTTGTGTTCATCTTTGATGGTCTGGATGAGTGCCGACTTCCTCTGGACTTCAAAAATAATGAGATCCTGAGTGATGTTACCAAGTCCACCTCAGTGGATGTGCTCCTGACAAACCTCATCAGGGGGAAGCTGCTCCCCTCTGCTCGCCTCTGGATAACCACAAGACCTGCAGCAGCCAATCAGATCCCTCCTGACTGTGTTGACATGGTGACAGAGGTCAGAGGGTTTACAGGGTCACAAAAAGAGGAGTACTTCAGGAAGAGATTCAGTGATGACAATCTAACTCGTAAAATTATGTTCCACATTAAAAAATCCCAAAATCTTCGCATCATGTGCCACATCCCAGTCTTCTGCTGGATCACAGCAACTGTTCTGAAGGATGCCCTTAAATCAAAAGACAGGAGAAAGCTGCCCAAGACTCTGACTGAGATGTACATACATTTTCTGGTGGTCCACTCGAAACTGGAGAACATCAAGTATCATGGTGGGGGTGAGGCTGACCCGACCTGGAGTCCAGAGAGCAGGAATATGATTGAGTCTCTGGGAAAACTGGCTTTTGAGCAGTTACAGAGAGGAAACCTGATCTTCTATGAATCAGACCTGACAGAGTGTGGCATTGATATCAGAGCTGCTTCAGTGTACTCAGGAGTGTTCACACAGATCTTCAGGGAAGAGTGTGGGATGTTCCAGGACAAGGTGTTCTGCTTTGTCCATCTGAGTGTTCAGGAGTTTCTGGCTGCTCTCCATGTTCATCTGACATTCAGCAACTGTGGAGTAAATCTGATGTCAGACATACAAACATCATGGTGGTCCAAAATCTTTAGAAAGAGATACAATCTAATGCATCTCTACCAGAGTTCTATAGACAAGGCCTTGCAGAGTAGGAATGGACACCTGGACCTGTTTCTGCGATTTTTTCTGGGTCTTTCACTAGAGTCCAGTCAGACTCTCCTTCAAGGCCTGCTGATCCAGACAGGAAACAGCTATGAGATCAGGCAAACTAAGGAAAAAACAGTTGAGTACATCAAGAAGATGATCAGAGATAATCCTGGTCCTGAGAGAAGCATCAATCTGTTCCACTGCCTAAATGAACTAAAGGATCTTTCCCTGGTGGAGGAAATCCAACAGTACCTGGAATCAGGAAGTCTCTCCACAGAGAAACTGTCTCCTGCTCAGTGGTCAGCTCTGGTCTTCATCTTACTGTCATCAGAAAAAGATCTGGATGTGTTTGACCTGAAGAAATACTCAGCTTCAGAGGATGCCCTCCAGATGATGCTGCCAGCGGTCAGAGCCTCCAATGAAGCTCTGTAAGTGCATATTGTTCTTACCTGTATACATCAGGTGTTTGATGTTATACATAGTTTGAGTCCATATCTCAACACTTAATTAAGATTTAATCCTTGACATTGCAAAGGAAAGAAAAAGAACTAAAGGTAGAGGAAACAAAACTGGACTGGCTTGACTGACTACCATAGCCATGGGTTAAATACCTGGTTGATGATGCCCTGCTGTCAATTTTGGTCTGCTGGTTATTTCAGTTATTTAGTTAGAGGCTCTCCAACATGGTCTAGCATTGCCTTATTAGGTTTACATTATTTGTTCCATGGTTAGTAACACACACAGAGTTAATGTGATTGGTTGTAGGCCTGTCCAATTGCGTCTAAAGACACCTCCACATGCAGCTGTTCAGGCTGCATTCCTACTTGACAGGAAAGATATTTTTACAAAATACTGGTGTATGTGGTTTATTAGTATCTGTTTTTCCACAGCCTTGGTGACTGCAACTTGTCATGGAAAAGCTGTAAAGTCCTGGCCTCAGTTCTTGGTTCACAGTGCTCTAGTCTGAGAATGTTGGACCTGAGTAACAACGACCTTCAGGATGCAGGAGTGAAGCTGTTGTCTACTGGATTGCAAAGTACACACTGCCTTCTGGAAACTCTCAGGTGAACCGTGGTTGAGTTCAGGTTAATATTAACTATGAGCTATTAATGATACTGAACACCTTGTGTTCATCAGGCAAATTTCTGACAATTGTGTAACCGTTAGTTTCTGTTTCATCTTTTACCTGACTTTGGTAAGAAACAGGTTCTGCATGGTCTAAGGAACTTATTTACAAAATCATGTACAATTTGAAAGGATATTTCCAAGCAGAAATAAACTTTGAACTCTGGACAATCTTGTCTAATCATTGTCTTTGGTTGGGCTTTCACAAACGCACCAAGTTTGTCTGAAAGGTTCATATACTCTTCGAATGTAAATATTCCCACTGGTCAAGCCATGAATGGCTACTGAGAATAGCCTACCAGGGGGCCCCCAAACACAGATGATGGTTTTTGTGATTCAATCCCTATGCCATGCATTTGGATGTTTCTGAAGTAAAAATGCAACAAAGGAAATCTTGATACTGGCATTTGCAGAGCAGAGTTCAAAGAGAAAAATATCTCTGCAATAGAAACAGTACTGGGAAGACACTCTCTCACACCCAAAACAATTACCTAATGCAGTTGCATGTCTTTGTCCTAGAAAATTATTTTTCAGCTCCACAAACTGAGCTAAAGCAAGCCTCCCACTCAATGGACTTTCACAGAGCTGGCATTTCAAAGTCAGTTTGATGTCAACAGATTTGGACAGTTCCTACTCTACTTTTACCTTCTCTATCTCTCTCTCCCTGTCTCTTACCGTCCCTACAGGCTGTCAGGATGTCTTATCACAGAGGAGGGTTGTGCTGCTCTGGCCTTGGCTCTAAGATCTAACCCTTCCCATCTACGAGAACTTGACCTCAGCTACAATCATCCAGGAGACTTGGGAGTGGAGCTACTATCTGCTGGATTCAAGGATCCACACTGGAGACTGGACACTCTCAAGTATGAACAAACAAAACAAACTTACACACAGTCTTACACAGACCTATTTTAGAACAAGATGTTTTAATTGCCAATGCACAATTGATCAAGTCAAATAAAATATTAGTAATACCTGATTCTTAATCAAGGTTAGACCCTCGTGGAGAGCAATGGCTGAAACCTGGTCTGAGAAAGTGTGAGTGTATATTTAATTTGATTCATATAATTGATGGAACAATGCTCTGCAATTCTGAGATGGAGTCTGTTCTAGGGACTAAGCAGCTTTAAGAACAGCATAAGTTGAATAAGTTGTATGTCACAAAAATGTGATAAAATACTCATTCGTAGATAAATGTCAATGCATTATCCTTGTTTTTTCTCTCTATCAGATGCCTGTGATCTCAGACTGGACCCAAACACAGCAAACAGAACCCTCAAACTCTCAGGGGACAACAAGTCGGTAGCAGCAGTAGGAGAAGCTCAGCTGTACCCTGATAATCCAGAGAGGTTTGACTACTGCCAGCTGCTGTGTACAGATGGTCTGACTGGTCGTTGTTACTGGGAGGTGGAGTGGAAAGGAAAAGTCCATATCGCGGTAACATACAAAGGAATCAAGAGGAAAGGATATGGTGCTGACTGCTGGTTTGGAGGGAACAACCAGTCGTGGAATCTGCACTGCTCACATGAACATTACTCTGTGTGTTGCAATCTGAGAGAAACAGACATCCCCACTCCTGCATCCTCCACCAACAGAGTAGCAGTGTATGTGGACCATCCTGCTGGCACTCTGTCCTTCTACACAGTCTCCCATGACACACTGATCCACCTCCATACCTTTGACACTACATTCACTGAACCTCTTTATCCCGGGTTCAGGTTTTGGTTTGGATTGGACTCGTCAGTTTCTTTGTGTGAGCTGAAAAGGGAAGACTCTCAGAGTTAAAGAAGGCTACTAACAGGGCTTTAAAACAGAGGAAAGTTCTGTTTTAATTATTCCAACAAGAGCATTCAAGAGGCTGCAAAACTGAGTTCACTTTTGAATTTTAACAGAGACCATCTTTGGCATGATAGGTTTTAATTTGGCCTGAGGGGAATGGAGTTGTGACATAAAGTTGTATTTCAGTGTTTTTGACATTTGATTTGGGCAGAGTTACACAATAAGTTACCACATGGAAGTTCAGTTCTGTGTTTTATCCAGGTCTTTACTTTTATCCCATACTTCTGATAGTTTCCATTTGATCTTGGAAGAAGGGCATTCTGAGCTGTTTTAGGAAACATCACTGGGAGCACCTGCTTAAGTCTGAATTCCTGTTCACAAACCACAACTTCAAGAACCCAAAACTCAAAATTCAAGACGGTTGCTCCTTGCATCAACCATTTAACAGCTTTACTTTTCACCACATTCACCTGCAACTTCGTCTTGTTCTGCATAACTTGATCTATCATACTGAATGTTTTAACATGTTGTCAGGGTGCTTGGATACACAAACGTTCTCATAGGCTGTGTCCGAAATGGATCCCTAACCCCTATATAGGTGACTATATGGAGGTTAGCGCTATTTTGCAGGGTGTCCGAAACCTCAGTGATAAATTCCAGTGCCCAATATAGACAACTCAAAATTTCCCATAAAGCATTGCAAAATGTAATGACCATCCGATGGTCACTCACCGGTGGTGGGCATCCCGTCATGCATTGGGTCTTGCCATGTAGTGTCCGAAACCTCTGGTGATTGAGTTCACTATAGTTAACTATATAGTAAATCCCATATGGGGGTTAGGGGTTAGGGATTGAGTGATCCATTTCGGACACAGCCACAGTGTGTTGATTACTTGGTATAGATATCAATGCTAACAACAAAAAGGGGGCTACTTTACAAATGTCATTTTAACATGTGACTGGAACTCAGTCAACTTGGGTGTTGTGTCATTTATCAGTTTGAAGGAGGCTGATATCACCATTATCCTTTCTAAATGAAAATATGCAGTTTAGCACTGCTTCTGATAGAGATTTTAGCCATGCTCTGACATCTGTAGCATGACATTAACACTTGCCTTTATTTTATCTTTACCCACAATATTTACCATATACTTATACTTCTTTTTTTTAATAATCTAAGATTGCTAGTTCGTTTTTTGTGTTCATATTTTACAGAGCAAAATATTTTTCTGTTGACATTTTTTGATAAAATCTTTTCTCAAGTAGCAACTGTGTTTCTGTATTCTTAATATCAGTGAACGTTTGAATTTTGTCAGACACTCATCCATTAAAAAAATGATATCCCATACTCAAATTTGGGGGCCAAGACTTTTCATTGTAGCTACAGTTCAACTACAATTTAAAGAGGCAAGAATACAATTGATGTAGTATTCAGCACACACGTATAAGGCTTTTTATACAGTTTAATTAAAGCTTAATTTTGATCAGGTGAGAGCAGATCAGGCCGTTGCATTTCAAGCTATTTTATTCTTTACCAGCGTTTGTTTGTGTTTCTCCTTATAAAATGTGTGCTGGTATGTCACTAGTGCCCAATATGTGAAATATAAATAACTTAAAGATAGTTTGATTGAGTTACTTTACCAGTTCTTATCCAAAGTCTCTGATGCAGTATAGCAGATCCAGATTCCTCCGGTAACGTTGGACTCGCGAGATGGCGACACACAAACTCCTGCTCCTTTGAAGAAAAAAAACAACAACAACATATATTTCCCTCCATTTTTGAACATCCGGGTCACCATAATCTCCTTCCGTTGCGACATAAACAAACCACGCGTCTTCACAGACGCCCATTCCTGTAGTTGTGGACTGGACCTACCTGTGCGGATATCACCTGCTGGTTAACGGGGTTTGGATGTGGCGTTAGTTCGGGCCGGTTCGGGCTAACTCAGTTAGCATGGTGAGGTGTGTCGTCTCCGGGTGTCTGAACCGCTCGGTGCCGACTAACCGGGGGATCTACAAACCTGCACCTAAGAGGTTCTTCAAGTTCCCCGAAGACCCCGCTCGAGTAAAGGTAAGGTTACTTGTGAAACTGTCAGACCCTAATATCATGTATGCGGTGTTTCTGCTTTCTTCGCTCCTCCGTTTACCTGCTGACGATGCTGAAAAACCGTCTTTAGAAACGGACCGACATGATAACGCCATAGAGGGGAAACTTAATCCCGTTAAAACATAAAATTCGTCTTAGTGTTTTTAAATTCGTTTTTTTTTTCCTGCTAATATTTTGTCTGATTGGACTCTGATTGGATTGCAGTAGGTGACCAAAGTTAAACTAGTCTCCATGGTATATTAAAGTGTACAGTGTTTTACTAATTTACTTATCATAATTCACAAAAAGGTCTTTCAACCTAACAAGAAAATGTAATATAAACACTGATAGCCAATAACATTAAACAATTCTGATTAAAAAATAATAGATTTAATTTGTATTGCACTTCAAATTTTTACAATCTCAAAGTAAGCAGGGTAAGATAAAAACAATTAAAATTAACGCAATTAAAATAATGCTTATATATATATATATATACATACACACACATATATAAATAGATAGATAGATAGAAAGATAGATAGATAGACAGACCTTTATTATCCCCGGGGGGAAATTCATTTTCACAGACACTGGCATGGACACATAGACTTAAGGACAACAAGGCACGTCCTTATACTAACAATAAGGACAGGGCACACAGGACAACACACATACAGATGAGGCAAGAGATTATCTTTGCAAACTATTCAGGGCAGTGATTGCGGAAGGGACAAAGCTCTTACTGAAAAGTGCTCGCTTCCACCTTAGAGTCCTGAACCTGAGGACATTTATATATATATGTGTGTGTGTGTATATATGTATGTATATGTACTCACACACGTACATATATTAGCATTATACAACTCTTTTAAGTTTTTTTCCTCCTGATCCCAGTTATATGTAAACATGCCACTGATATTGTCTTTAAAATAAGCATTTAAAAATATTAAAATTGAGCATTTTCTAGCTTTATGGACATTATGGGATATGTATAGCCTTTAAGTGAATTGTGTATAATGCACTGTGAAAAAGTGGTTGCATGGTAGATAGTGTATACTGCTCAGTTAGATTAATATTGCTTGGTGGAGAGTGCATTGAGTTGAAAACCGTGTGCAGAGTTTCTTAAAAAAAAACCTGCAATATCATTGCAAATAAATCACAGTAGCAATCGTTTAAACTTAGCACTTGTTTATCTTTTAATTTTGGATATGTTAATAATTCTTAGGTCACTTTATTAATGTTAAAAAATGTGAAATCATTGACTCAGATTGAAAAGAGCTATCAGGTTTGGCCTTATTCTAGGTTGCAGATTATGGCTGTATTTTCAGTCCTCTAAATTCATTATTTCCTCTATATCAATAACACTGGTGTCTTATTTTTAGGTATGGCTGGCGGCGCTCAGAGAGTTGGACAAAGAGGACTCCACAGAGCAGCACCAGATCTGTGAGGATCACTTTCTGCCCGAGGACATCACTGCTGATGGAGTTAACCCTCGTGCCATCCCCATCATGCCCCCCGACCTGAGCCTGATGACTCCCTGGGCAGCTGAGTCCTCAGAGGAGGAGGAACAGTGGGGGACAGGGGGCTGCAAGGATGACGAGGAGGAGGAAGAAGAGGAAGGTGGAGAAGAAGCTTTTCTTGAGCTGGATCCACCACAGCAGGTCTGGAGTCCAGTTTTGTAAACCTGTTGGCCCCCATGAACAGAAGCCTTAACATTGTTGTCACTTGTTTAACTCCTGACCATGAGCCTGTGCTGCATGATCCCCCTTACACTCACAATCTTCATCCTCAGCCTCTCAGATTCTCTCCATCCATCTTTTATCTCAACTTCTAACCTTCACTCAAACCCTCAAACACACAAATCCTCATTGAGAGCCGCTGCCCACAGTTTTAAAGTCACTCTCTGTTTCCTTTTTTTTTTCTGGTGTTCAGGATTCAGGTGCAGGTTTGGAAAATCCCCCAGAGCCAGAGACCGCCAGGTAACAAATTTCTATTTGATTAATTTTTAAAAGAGAACCCCCAAATTTTGAAATTTTGCAAGCCAGAAATTCTTCTTTTATAGATTGTCTGTAGTTTTCGTTTAAAGTCTTTTTTTGTTTTTCTTCCAGCACTGCAGAGCCACAAGTGAATTCAGTGCCTGTGCGAAAAACTAGACAAGGTGATCACTGCTATTATTAAAGTCAAAGGGTTAAACTCAAGGTTTATGGGCTTCATGCTCCTGATCAAAGATATGATTTAGCAGACCTCTGACAATTGTGTGTTTGTGCATAGATGTGTCTCTGAGCACGCTAACTCAAGGTTTCCTCGAGCTGCTCAAAGCATCTCCAGATGGCTCCGTGGACCTTCGTGAGGCAGTATACAGTCTGAAGACACGCCAGCGGCGAGTGTACGACATCACCAATGTCCTCGAAGGCATCAACCTCATCCAGAAACAGACAAAGAACAGAGTCAAGTGGATGTGAGTCTATACAGATTGAAAATTTAATGAGAGGGCCCTTCATGCGCACTAAAGCTGCTTTCTGTGTCTGCAGAGGACCTTGTTCCATCTCCAGCATCTTGTCTAAACAAAGTCATAAGCTGAAGGAGCTGCAAAACCTCAAACAGGTGGAGAACACGCTGGACGGCCTCATCAAAAGCTGCGCCCGACAGCTGTTTGACATGACTGACGACGTGGAAAACGCTGCATATCCTGTAAATAAGAGATCAGGAGAAAACGTAATCTGAAAGCAGAAATAGACGTCCTTCTGTCAGAGGTTTCTTGCCTGTCTGTATTTTTCAATGTTCGCAAAGAGGCTCAAGAGAAAAACTTCCCACCTTCAAGTGAAAAGATGCTCTCCTCCAAGCACCAGAGTTTGGTAGTGCTTGTAGTAGAATTATTAATGAATTATGTCAGAGTTGTTTTTTTTTTTTTAAATCTGTCTGCCATCTTCATCAGTTTTTCTTTTCATCTCTCTTCTATCAGAATTTTTTTTTTTTAAATGATTTTTGTTCATTAATTGAGGAAGCAATCTTTCTTTAACTCTTCTGTACATGGGCGTACATAAACCTCAATGATATCGGGCAGCTTACAACCTTCCAGGAGCAGACGGTGATTGTTGTTAAAGCTCCAGAGGAAACCAAACTGGAGATCCCTGCACCGAGAGAGGTAGAGTGTGAAACCTGAGAGTAGATGGAGAGATGCAGCCCTAAAGAGTCAGTGCTTTTATGTCATGAGCTTTCCTTTTACCCTGTATTTGTGTGTGTGTGTGTGTGTGTGTGTGTGTGTGTGTGTGTGTGTGTGTGTGTGTGTGTGTGTGTGTGTGTGTGTGTGTGTGTGTGTGTGTGTCTGTCTGCGTCTGCAGGATGTCATTCAGATCCATCTGAAGGCAGTGAGAGGCTCTATCATGGTGGTAACCTGTGAGGTGGAATCAGGACAGACCACAACCTCAGATTCTGGAGAGAAAAGCAGAGCCTTCCTAACGCTGGAGGGCAGCCGGATCAAGACAGCGACACTGAGCACAGGTGACAAGAATGATTAAACACGACAATTTCTAGTATCGTAATGACAAATAAAAGAAGATTGTTTTCTGATGGGTCATATTTCTACTCTTGTTGTAATCTTGTTCTTTTCATGCTGTTGTTTCAGGATCTTCAGGTCTGCAGAGTGCTGTGCAAAGTGCATAACCGCCATAAGACCACCGGGAAGCGCTGCACACCATCAGGGTTACCTGAAAAGAGGCCGGATGACAGTGTCTGCAGGTACAAAACAGAGACTGTATGGTTTATGGACTACAGTATAAGAGACACTGTCTCTGCAATAGGCTAGTGACTATAAACAAACCAGCAGTCCAGGCATGGTGGACATGGATACAGAAAGCCGCTAGCATGTGAAAATAATAATGATGAATTTGACTGAGTGTAGAAATTGTTAGACTTCTTGAACGGTCATTTAGTCTCATGACTGACTATTTCATATTCCTGACACTACAAACAGCCCAGAGGTGGAGCTCAGTGACTGAATTAGCTGAGGGGTCACCTTAACAGACAGCTAGCAGCTCCCATCTGTCACTCTAAGAGGCCACACCCCCTCATCATATAAAAACGTTTTTATTTAGACAAATGTAAACAGGTGAGTCTGGTTTGAAATGAGCTACAAAGACCAACACTGTTTCTCTACCAGGCTGTGAAGACATTTATTTCTGCTATAAAGTTGGACTTTTGAACATGGTGCTCGATGGGGACTGAATTCACCTTTGGACACAACCCCTGGTGGACATGTAAGGAACTGCAGTTTTTGGCTTCGCTCATGAGTCAGCTCCCCAAAGATGTTGCTTGGTACTGATGAAGTACATGCATCAGTTTCTGCGCAAAGGACAAACCACTTTGAAGGTTTAAATAGGAAGTCTTTATTTATAGACTATTTTTTTGCATCCAAAATCTTGTTTTTAGAGATCACGGGCTGAGACGGAAAGTGATGAGAATGAGAAAAGGCCTACCTCTCGTTTTTTGTAAAAGACTTAATGAAGCATCACAAACATGGTGCGCCTGCGTTGTTTCTTTGTATGATAGTATCATTATGTGTGTAAAACTTTCTGTTTGTACTTTTCTTTGTTTTTTGATATCTGTCTTAATGTTTTCCTGAAATCAATAAAATACAAACATGTAAATTATGAAAAAGATTTTTTGATGGTCAGTGAATGTCCTGTTAGTTTGTAGTTTGAATCCTTGATGCTGCAGAAACATTTTCAGTACTGGGTCTAGGTGTATGTATGAAAAGCCAGGAACACATTTTTAAAAAAGTTTTTATAGAGGAACAACTGAACAGGTAAAAAGTTGTTAAAGAGGAATGACCAAATTGGTTAAAAGTTTTGTAACACTAAAAAAAACAGAAAATGGCTGGAGGAACATCTCCAACTAATGAGGTGAATTTCCAACAGGTTAGTAACATGAATGGGTATAAAAAGAACATTTAAAGAGGTTGAGTCTCAGAGGGAAAGATGGGAAGAGGTTCACCACTCTGTGAGAGTGGTGAACCTCTTCCCATGCAGTGCAGTGCAGGAGCTAACGGTTCACTCAAACAGACTCTCTGCTCCTGTTTTCCCTCCATCTCTCTGTAGAAACATGTTACTGAATTTGTTTGCCGCCTTGTTTTTTCTTTTCCTCCTCTAGTCTTTGGTCGAGTCTCTCAGAGGGAAAGATGGGAAGAGGTTCTCAAATCTGTGAGAGACTGTGGGAGCTTATATTTCAACAGTTTAAGAATAATGTTCCTGAGTGTCAAATGTAAAAAAAAATGAGTGGATTTCATCATCTACATTAGATGTCATTAAAAGATTCAGAGAATCTGGAGAAATCTCGACAGAAAGTACAATAACCAGAACTATGACTAGATGGTCCTGATCTTCAGGTCTTCAGGCAGCACTGCATTAAAAACAGACAGGACTCTGGAGTGGAAATCACTGCATCGGCTCAAAATTACTTACAAAATATTCTCTGTGAACACAGTTCATCACTGCATCCACAAATGAGGTTAAAACTGAACCATGCAAAGAGAAAACCAGGTACAAACAGGATTCAGAAACTTAAAAATTGTTAATGATAACATCCAAGTGCAGCAGACAGGGGGCAGTAGTGAGCTGTGAGTGATTTGGCAGCAGATGCAACTTCAGGGAGCCCCAATGAATATCAACTCTAAACTCTTTTATGTAAAAAAAAAATATGAAAAGAACTTTAGATGGACAGAGTCATCATGAGTAAGATGAGAAGTTTATCATCACATTATATGATGCACACAAAACTGCAAAACAAGCAGAGTAAACAACCGCAGCCTAAAAATCTTTTGAGCCCTTAGAGATTCTTCAGTCTAAGATCAGCTTTCCCTCTTTTTGGAGAAAGAAGAAACGCTTTTAACAACATAATACATCAATAAATCATAATTTTCATGATTGTATTATTTAAAATTTCTGTTTCCAGGAGCACTTTCTCAATCTGTTTGTTCCAGGGCCTGAGGAGGGATCCAGATGGTTAACTCCAAAAAACAAATTATCTGAAGATCTCAAAAGTTTTGAAAGACCCCGGTTTACATGCCCTCAAAAGAAATGCTCATGTATGATTCTCAAAAATGTCTGACTTTAAAACAATGAGTTATAGAAATGTTGTTTAAGTTACAGGTCACCAAAGGTTTCATAGGAAAAGATGCAGAAGCTGCAGCATGTTCAGAGCGTACATTCAATTAAGAAACTGAAGCAAAGCATCTCCATAATATGACTCCAAACTCTGTCGCTTCACTCCGTCACTCAGGTCTGGTCTTGCTCCTGGTCCTGGTCCAGTTGTAGGGCCCGCCCCTGCAACAGCACAAGAAACAGGACAGAGAAATGCACGGACCCTGACAGTGAGACGCAGGATCATCTGCACGTGAGTTTTTCTTTTTCTGCTCAGAATTATGAATTATGCCTTCACTGCCTCTGGAAAAGAAGGTTTCAGTAAATCACAGCTCCTGCATGGACTGAGAGTGTGTGAGGATGTTGATGTTGACCTCTGCGGTAGTCTGATGTTGTTCGGTGTCTTCAGAGCAGACCCGCAGAGTGTTTGAGGAGGTCAAAGAGACTTTTTTGGGTGTTTCTTTGTATTTCTCTCTCAGTTTTGCACTTTCAGGTTCATATTTCTGCAGAGTGCACCCTCACTGCTTTGTTTTGATCCCTCTGCAGCAGCGTGTTGGCAGCTTGAAGCTGATTATGTAACCCTAGCACAGCTGAGATGTTTTCCTCAGCCTCCTCATGTAGAGCAGCTGCTGTTCTCTGAATGAATCTCACTGCAGTAAAAAAAAAAAAAAAAAGTTTCCCGCTTGGATGTAAACTGGATTTGTGGAAGTACAGGGAAAAACCACAGACACTGAATCGTCCAGGAAACTATGTAAAGCTCAATGAGCAACTCTGCGGTCATTCGTCTGCTGATATTTTTGGATGTTTACAAATATTTTTAGTTCAGAAAAACACTCTGTTGTCATGTTTCCACTGCAGAAAGTTTCCCTCAGGGACGGGGAACCATTGGAGGAACTCTAGGGACAGGAACCAGGGTCAGCAAAGAGTAAAACCAGAGTCAGGAGTTTTTTCCATTAGACGTTCACGTTTCTCACTGCTGCTGTAAAGAACTTTTAACTGCTGTATCGGGTCTAAATTTGCATGTTTGTTTTACACATACAGTTTTAATCATTTCCACCTTCAGGACTTTTAAGGAACATTCTTTAGAGAGATGACTAACGCTCAGCCTGTTGAGTGTTTGTAGAATTCTGCAGGGGGCGCTAGCAGCTAATGTAGCCTCATTAACTTATTAATTGTTTTTACGAACCAGACTTGTTGAGTGACTCTTACTGGAGTCATTTCTCTCTCCGGTTTCCCTGAATTTCACAGCAAGAACCTGAAATCAGGCAGCTGTGAGTGAGGGAAACCCTGAGTAATAACCTCCAGCAGCCTCCTGGGGTGTCTTTGTTGTGGTGTGTGTGTGTGTGTGTGTGTGTGTGTGTGTGTGTGTGTGTGTGTGTGTGTGTGTGTGTGTGTGTGTGTGTGTGTGTGTGTGTGTGTGTGTGTGTGTGCCCAAAGAGCAGACACATTAGAGGCTAAGTGGAGCCCTGCAGGGACCCTGAAACCTCCAGGGAGGATCATTTAAGACCTAAACCCCCAAAAGGCACACACACACACACACACACACACACATTTTATTGTTTGTGGTGAAATTGGCCAAAAGTATGTGGACGCAGTTACTGCCGTTATAGGCCTCTAAATTAAAGGGTTGCCCAGAATTTGGTCATATGTATGTAGGGTCCAATCTGTCTCTGTTACATTAAAAAAATCTAAACTCTCAAAATTTGACGCTTCATGAGCTCAAAATATTCTAGTCATGCACATTTATGTGGTTGAATTATTTAATGTAATCAGCAGCACTTATTTCTGTTTTTATATTAGATCCTCAACATTAATATTTATTGAAATACGAGCCGTTTTCTCCTGATTGTGCTGAAATATTTACTCTTCCTGCCTCTCTGTGCAGATTATCTCCACTCTGTCCTCTCTCTCTCTCTCCTGATGACAATAGGGAGGAAGTGCAGCCTAACCTTTTGAAGCTTCTGAGTCTGTCTTCACTGTCCTTTCTCTAAAATTAATCTAAATATGACCCTGTCTTCTATTCAGAGATGTTAAAGTGTGTTTGTTTTCCTGCCCTGCTAAACCGGCTCCCTGACGAGCTCTGACCCGGCTGTTTGTGTTGGAAGGTTAGCAGCTCAGGTGGGGATATGGCGGTGGCAGGAGGGGGTCAGGTTTAACACTGCCGCCTGTGTCCTGCAAACCACAGCGAGCTGTGTTTGGTTTCTCTGCGGTCTGACAAGCGCACAGTCGTGTCAGTGTTGTTGTTGTTAAAATGTTTAGACAGCGAGGAGAGGAAACCTGAAGCTCAACGCTGAGGATTTCCTCTCGTGTTGGTCTGTTTGAGGCGTTGGATTCTAAACTCTGCTCTGCAGGTTTTACTTGTCTTATCATTTTAAACTTTCTCTCTCCTTTTTACATAAATCTTCATCAGGACACATTATAAAGAAAATGTCCAAATCCAGAGTTGGAGCTTTCTCAGGTGGACAACCTGCCTTGTCAGTAGGACTGGCCAATTATATGATTGTGATAAATTTCAGTTCGATCACGGTGATCAACTGTGAGTATATTTACTTGATCAAACATAGCGGAAATTTACGTGACAACAGCCAATCAGAGTCGAGCTTTTCCTGCTCACTCCTGAAGGCTAAGTTGCCAGACAAGTAAACAGGATAAGTAAACAGAATAACTGAACGTGGAGCTAAACGTGGAGCTGGGGGCAGCAAAATAGATGTCAGCCGTGACTTTGAGTCATCCTCCAAAGATGTTATTGTTGAGAAGTTATTCAATGTCAGTTGTGTTGCGGTGGTTCAGGTATCTCCAAACTAACAACGACCAATTAAGCCGATGTGCAAGGTATATCAGCTGTCGGTGCCCTAAAAAGACGGCAACACAACAAATCTGTTTAATCATCTGAAGAATTACTTCCCCGGTGATTATGCGGAAAGCATGAAACTGTGAGCGGTGTCTGCGCAGTCTGTCACTGCTGACGGCACGAGTAGCATTAGCAGTTTAGCCACAACTAGCAGTGCAGCCACCAGACCAAAGCAGCGATCAATCAAATAATCTACATTTACATCCTCTAATGTTTATATTTTAAGGCGTCTTCATTATCTTTGAGGGGGGGGTTTGTTTATTTATCTTATTCAAATTGCTTGTCGAACTAATCTCTAGTTTCTTTAGTTTTTAGAACAGCTGCTTTAAAACTGGCAGTTCGAAAAAAAAAAGTGATAATAATCGAGATCGGACGATATGACAAAATATTGTGATCATCTTTTTTGCCAAATCGCCTAGTCCTACCTGTCAGTCGTTCCCTCTGTCTCTGGTTTCTGTTTGGGTCTCGACTCTGATGTGAGGACGTAAACTGACCCTCATTACCTCCCAGCACAGACTAATGAGCCTCACTCAGTATTCATGAACATGCTGTTTAACTGAGAGCTGGCATATGGAGAGCCAGGTCTGAACGCCCCGCTGACCGACTGAAAACAGCTTTCTATTGTTGAGGAGTCCAAACAAAGAGCCGGGAGATGATCTCTGCACCTCCACACGTCCCACTGATCACTGAGGTGTTTCACTTATTGATCACTTGAGCCTCTGTTATGCTAAACTGAATCCTTCATCCATTTGGAGATTGATTTCTTTGTTCCTGAGCTGACGTTACTTTCACTTTAGCCCTAAAGCTCCTTCCACACATGCTCAAGTTTCTGGAACTGTTCATCCTGACTTTATCCAGACCTGTCGGTGGGAGGTTAGGTGCTCTGGAAGTGGGCGCTATACCACTTCAAATCCAGTGACTGGTGCCATGATCTGCCATCATTACCAGTTTAAGTTTAATGACACCCTGTACTGTAGATGATAAAATCCACAGATTTAGCCATTTAATGTAAAAACACACTGATCTTGACTTTGTTGTCTTTTCAGTGTTTGTTGTCCTGGTCCCATCTTTTTTTTTTTAACAGTTTTGTTGACATCAAACTTGAAATAAGCATTGTTTAAATGGCTTATATGTTGCCTTTGGACTATTTTCACTTACCATCACTTTACATCCAAACTCCTCTGGTCATGGGCGGCTATGGCTCACTCAGTATTCAGCTTTTTCTACAAGCTGCTTCAGTGTTTCTTCACCTGAGCAAAGAAAGCAGTTTGAACTTTTGTCACCTTTTCCCTTTAGCTCTGATCTAAGATATAAAGGGGTTAAAAATGAAACTTCAGCTGCAGGTTTTTTTGTGGAGGAAAAAGAGTTGACGTTTCTTAAAATATGAAGGCAGCGGCACGTGAGCTGGCTGAGGTTTGACCGTGGAGGAAAACTGCTGCTTGTTTCTTGGACAGCGACGAGACACCTGACAGAACCCAGCACGCGCACACACTCACACACACTGCGAAGGTGAAGCCAGCAGTTTGTTTTTCTTTCTGTCACAGTGGGCGTCCAGCTGAGCGTGGCCACAGCAGCAGCAGCAGAAGAAGTAGAAGAAGAAGAAGGGCCTCTGTGTTCAGCTGGAATGTGCGCTGGATTTTCTACCTAATTAACCTCCATGTTGTCATGCGAGACCGCCGTTTTCTGCTCGATGGAGAAGTGCGATTGGCTCGGCCGCCCCGTTCTGTCCTTAAGCTGTCTGATCCGACGGTGTTTGTGTTGGAGGCACGAGACCGAGCCGATAGGCTCAGACGCAGCCGAGCAGAACTCAATTAGTGTTCAAAGTCGGGCAGCTTCTGGATAATAAACCTAATTGGATCAAATTTGCACCAGGATAGGCTCCATTATCCCCCTGTTATGGCCAAGCAGGAGGTGAAAGAGAGCCTTTAAAATTCTTTTACACTCAAATTCACAAGTCTGCAGATTACAGACCAACATAAACTAAAGTCAAGGCCCGAGAGGCTCCATCAGACTGAAACAGCTTTGCTTAAAGAGCTCGACTGAGTCTTCACGTTGAGATTTAAGACATGAGTGCACTTCTCTTTCTTAATCAGTGCATATATCCAGGTAGAAAGATGCTAAAGTTCTCCAAATGCTGCACAGGTGATCCACTTTATTCTCATGGCAGCCCTCTTAATCTAAAACCACATTGGGATCTTTGAGGAAACAGTACTGCTGTGTTTCAGGGTCTGGTTATTCAAAGGTAATCTGACTGGATTAAGGTTATCAGATCAGTTCAGATCTCAAAAACAGGTTGTTCAAAAGAGAAAATCAGACAAACGTGATCAGATTATATCAAGTAATCTAATCCTGGTTCCAAATATGTGAGGTGGATTTGGATAACTTTGAACGAGAGAGGTCAGGATTATCCTGATCCCAGCAGAGAGCTGGTCCCAGACTAGACAAAATGTGACCAAAAAGGAAGTCGGTCAAACAAACATCTTCACTTTGATACAGATTTTTCAGACTTTTTTTCTAATATTTGGTTCTTAAATTGTTTTTCTACAGTAACAGGGTAGATATTGTAGATACTCAGGTCTTCTAAAATTAAGGAATATCCAACATAATATTTCCCGTTTAAATCAGCTGTGAGAGTTTTTCACTTGGTGTGGATTTTTGTGATCCCATGTAGCACGAAGGTTCATTAAAAGCATTGATAATCAGGATTTGGTAACTTTTAATAACCCGCACCGTATATCCTCCCCAAATCTGAACTCTCAGGGGGTTATTTGCTAAAAAATCAACCTGCGGCTGCTAAAACATCAGGAATTTTGCACCATTGGGCCTCCATATCTGCTCCATCCAAAGGTCTAATTCTTCAAAGACTTAGACTCCACACATATAATGAGCTGGTAGAGAGGGGCACTTCTTACCAGTTAAACGCGGAGGGGATTCATGACTATGACGGAGAATTATGGGCACATTAAGGACTTCGTAATTACTTATGAGAATAAAGTCGTGATAAAATCATTACTTACAAGAATAAAGTCCTAAAGTGAATAAAGTCATAAAGCTGTTTTTGTGGAGGAGGAAATGGCTGGAAGTGGTCAACTGCAGAGTTATCAGTGGGTGCATCAGTGGGATTTTGTGGTTTCTCAAAAAACAATCCAACTGATGATCAACATATGCGATTCAGAGGGAATCGAGCACCGTGTCTGTCTCTGATGCCGGCACAACACCGGCAGCAACCAACACCTGCAGAGATACCTTATGGCATATAGATTCATCTGAAAAACTAAAGCCATATGCTCTTGCTATAAACAGCTGCACAAGTCCGCCTGGTTCTTTCTGCAGAAAAGATGCATTTCTTGCATATGTCCTGATACTTTTGGCATTTTGATGCTGAAACGCCAAAGGATTTAGTGTCTCCTTGTTTGTGAAACCTAGCTACTGAAGTTCAATTCATCTAAATGCTCCACAGCGCTCATTTAAACAACTAACAACAGGTTAGAACAGCTATTAGCTACGACTTTATTCTCGTAAGTAATGATTTTATTATGACTTTATTCTTGTAAGTAATGATTTTATTACGACTTTATTGTCGTAAATAATTATTTTATTACGACTTTATTCTTGTAAGTAATTCTGGGGTCTAAATTTTTTTCTTTTCTTAATGTGGCCCTAATGCTCCGTCGTAAATGACAGATGTGATATATTTCAAAGTTTATTTCCAGCTCTCCACCTGGATAGAGCTTGTAAAATGCAGCCCTTTTAAATAGGATTTTTTTAAAAAACGCTGCGTTAACGTGACTGATTTATTTATTCTGGACACACGAGGACGCCTTTATAAACCCAAGTTATCACCGGAAGAACCAGATTTAATCATCTGTTTCAGAAATACCTGCAAGTTGATTTTGTTTCTAAATAAAGTTGCAGCTGTCAATCAGAAGGCTCTGCAGCTCTGCAGCTCTGCAGCCACAGGTCAGACTCACGTGCAGGTGAATTAAAGCCTCTTTGAGCTCCACCGTCCACAACGTCAACACAGGAAGTTGACGGAGCTGTCAGGCCGCATACCTTCACCCAAATTTAACAAGGCCAACTCTGTTCTGGCAAAAACCACGGCTGTTTCTCTTTTTTATCCCACTTTGTGGTTTGGACAGGGTTGTTATGGAGTCAGCTGAGCTTCAGGCAGTGCTCTGCTTCATCAAAGACTCCAAACACTCAGATTTCAGTCTGTTTAAGAAAAACGCTTATAATGTCTTTAACCGAGCAGCAGAAAAACAATGACAGGGGACGCAGTTGGTGTCCGTAATTCTGCAATTTTCTCCAAAGAAGCAAAATAAGCATTTAAAATAATAGAGCAATCACACAGACACACACACACAGACACACACTGATTACTCAGAGGATGAAGGAAACTGTGAGCGTACAGCTCATGATAATGAGGTTTATTCGGTGCCTGCAGCTGTAATTTCAGGAGTCATCTGTCTGCAGGACTGAAAGCTTTGGTTAGCCTGTTGAAGGGGAGGTGGGGGAGAGAGGGAGGGGGAGGGTGCATTTTGCAGATGTAGGTGGAAAAAGCTCGACATGACCTTGAAATGTAGTGGGAACCTCAGCCACCAATAACTGATTTCTGAACAGGGATGGTGCTTCTGCAACAAGAACTTTTAAACATAACGTCAGTGTTTTCCTTCTGTTTGTCTGCTGTAAATGTTCTGGTCACGTTTCTCAGAAGTCCACACACCAGCTAAACCACGCAGGTCATTTGTTCCTGACACCCACTGTACCACACCTCTTTAAACCTTCACACCGGACCTGAAGGAGGGCGCTGCTGAGCAATCTGTGGAGCAGATTTCAGCAAAACTCTCACAATAATTTCAACAACTCTGCACAGTGGTTTACAATATCAGACACGCAGCAGCATGTAGCAGTGTTTGCTGTTGATTCTAACGATTTAAAGCTAAAATTAAGTTTATGATGATTGATTATAATCCTAATTAGAATTCACAAAAAGATGCATCTTGACAGTTCAATTCTCCCTGAGTATGTCCATATCTATTCACAAGAAAACTGCAAACAGGAGCTGATAAAAACTACTTCTGTTGACTAAAGATGGAGATCGCTCACAAAAATGTAAACACTCACAGCCCAAGTTGGAGCCAAGAGCAAACTTACAGAACTTCCCGTTTACATCTTTTATAAACCCCCGGCTCTAATAAGTATGACAAAAAAATATATATTTTGATTAGCTGGGACCATCATCAAACCTATTAAATGTGGCACAGATTGGATATTGGCCAAAGTTAGTGCCATGTATATCCATAGGATGGATAAGGACACTAATAGTATTTACTCGCTTCATTCGCATGTCAACGACCTCCTCACTGACTTTCCTCCAGGCGAGCTCCTTTTTATTACAGTTTCGGTGATTGAAAGAAAAGGTTTCATAATTCAGGGCACCCACACATCTGCACGGTTTGTTTGTCCTCCATTTTAGATACCAGTGAACAACCGTCCATTTTCATACGTCACCCAGCAACCTTTGTGCTGATTGGTTGTCGTGACACGAATGTCCGCTCAGGTCCCACTCAGTTCACGTCATTCGCGCCACCAGAGTAGTAGGAGCGTCTAACCACGTCTTTGCATTGACTTAACATGCAATTCAGTCGTGGGAATGATTTTTCTCGCGCTTGGTGTGTGGAGACAGTAAGACAGCTCTGGTCTAATATGCTCCCTGAAAGTTGGCTGAGACTCAGATGTATAGACTTATTGTCGGGATTGGAGGATTGATCCAGAGGGATTTTTTTGCAGGTCTTGGCATGATATATATGCCTAGTGAGTTTCATACATGTAGGTCAAACCCATTAGAGGAGCTGCATAAATGTTTTAAAAGAATGGATAATAATGGTGAAAATGGTGCAGGTACGTTTCTATCAAAGAACGAAATGGTCGGCTTGTTAAAATCAACCATAGCACACCATTGATGTTTCTTCTGCTGCTTTGTTGACGTCTTTGGGATCCTGGTCGCTCTGTCTTTGATGCAGAATGAGCACTTTTGTCCTGAAAGGTGGAACAGCCTGCAAAAAAACACTTGGTCTGAATGTGGGTCTGTAATCTGCAGTGTAGTTTGAGAGCCTGTTGTGTTACGTCACTGTGTCACTGTTCTCAGATCAGCCTCCAGCCCAGCTAACCGGGATCAGTGTTTCCCCCACAGCTGCTTTCAATTACTCACATAATGCTCCCTCTCTCTCTCTCTTTCTTTCCCACACCATAATAAACTCCTCGCTCGCCCCTCCTCACCCAGAATCATACAAGTGAATTTGTCTGGCATGTCGTCATTTATGCATGAGAGAAAAAATTCAGCCTGGATGTCTGGTAAAAGCTCTGACCTAAAGATTTTGTGTGTTGTCCTTTTTATAAATGACCTCTCCTTCTGTTAAAGTTATTTTGGAGTAATTTCCCCCACAAGTAAGAAGGTCATTTTCATTTCATTATGACTTCCAGCGAAGCTTTTCCTTCACTGTAAACTGTTATCTAATGTTTCATTAAAAGGCTTGTGAGGCAGCAGACCTCAAAGTGGATTTGTCTAGATTGGAAAGCAGATCTAGTGATCCTGTCTCCAATATCCTGGGCACATCTTTCCATCCCTCCAGCTTTGATTCTTCAGGAAAATCACTCCTGATATGTTGAGGTTTTGATTTTTTTTCCATGCATCAGAGCAGCAGTGTGTTGTCGCCCTGCTGGCCCCGCTCTGAGAGTTTTTCCGTTGTTGCTCGGTGGGTTTTGGTTCGGTTACTTTGAGCTGCCTGGTGAAGCTCCAGGACGTTTGTGGCTCCGGTTCAGAAATCAGCTCTGTGGTGGAAAAACCAAAAGATTCCCAAAGACACTAAGGATGAGGTTCAATTTTACTGTCTTTTCCACAATAAATGTCAGAGCCGGAGAATTATTCAAAAATGGTGTGGTCTTCCTCGCTGAAATCTGTGACAGCTGTCGGGGAGTTTATTTTCTTCCTGCTAAGTTTCACATTGATCCTTCAAAGTTAACTCTTCATGGTTTCTCTAAATAAATAAACTGACTGACTGTAAAGGATCCATTGGAGAAAAAACTATGATGCAGTTTGCCGTCTTTGAGTTTCATGCAACTTCCAGCTAAAGAGCTCAAATGCAGACAGGGAAGCTGAATGTTGAGCCTAGTTCATCACTGCATCCACAGATGAGTGGAAAAGTGTCCTGTGGTCAAGGAAATTGAAGTTTGACATTCTTTCTGGAAACCATGGTCACTCCATCCTCCAATCTAAAGTGAGAACAGACCACCAGGTTTGCTGACTTTACACTATTTTTTTGATTCCATGTATGGTTTTAATGATCAAATTCAAACATTTTACACAGCATCAAAACTTTAAAAATTTTGGGGTTGTGATTTCAGGTTGTCGTGAGCAACTTTTTAATCTCAGAAAGTTGTGGTGTAATTATTTGGCAATATCATTGTTGAGAATCTGAATAATGCTGCATTACAACTCCCTTGGAAGTCGGATGTCAGAGCTGGGAATGAAGTTACACCCAAGTTGATGGCATTCCAGTTAACAAGTCTGAAAACCAAGATGGACGCCTACAGTTACCCGTTGTTAGCTGTTGTTTACAATTGTTAGCTGTAGTTAGCCGTTGTCAGTTGTTGTTAGTGGTTGTCAGCTGTTGTTAGCCATTGCCAGTGGTTGTTAGTTATTTTTAGCTATACCAGTAAACAACGCATAACACAGTATTTTACTCTTACAGGCACC